TTGGTTGCTAACGATTACGAATTTATCGTAACAGGAGAGTCGGCTGTTCTGTGGAAGAATTGGTGGAGGAGTTTGAGATTTCGTGGAAACCTGAGACTGGAATTAGCTATTCGAGGAAGTTCGTGGAGTTCTGTAGCGCCAAGGCTCTCCCTAACATGTGCCAAAAATTCGAGGAGGATATCAGCACTGGATCGTTTAGCCGCTTCAGCTTCGATATGATGCTGGCTTGGGAGATGCCTTCCTCTGAAGACGAACAGTCTCGCGAGGTACGTACTATCCCTCTTCTGTCGGTCTTGTTCAGAAAGTCCTCTATTAGTCTCCTATTTACTGGTTCTTTCGATTTAGGTTGAAGAATATGTCTGAAATTTGATTTCGCTATTGGGAGAATATGTCGCTGATTCCAGTATCAGCGATTGTTCTCTTTTAATGTACTGCAAGAGTTGAATCTTATTCTGCTTTTCAATAATTTTGATTCTAAGTTTCTTTCGATTGGATACTTTCGTGCTGAAGCTCTGCACTATTCATCGGTGATATTGAGTTGTTCGTGCATAGCTTTTACATTTCATCGTTGATATATAACAGGAGAGTGTGGCGAAGGGGAAAGAAGAGAAGAAGAAAGTTGTAGCTGCCAGTGTGCCTCCGGAGCAAGATGAGATCCCTCTTTTCTATTCGGACCTTATGCCCTTGCTTGTAAGCATCGTGCGGCACAATGTCGCATCTATCTACTATCGTTTCGATCAATTAGCGGCGTTTCTGTTGCATATTATTCTCTCTCGCTCGTCTCTGGGCACCTAATTTTGGTATTATCTTCGCAGGTTAACGACGATCCAGATGTCGGAGAAGATGCATTTGTGTGGTTGGGGTCTTTAGTTCCATTAGTTTCGGATCTTGTTAATGCAAGATTCACATTCGAAACTCTAACAGCTCCAACTGGACACCGGCTTCATTTCCCAGCATATGATAAATTTCTGAAGGAAATTGACAAGTGATGGCTCCAACTAATTGTTCTAATTTATAATCGTAATTTTTCCATCTTTAGCGCAGTAGAGAGTACAAGAAACACACGAGTTTATCATTTACCTTTGTGAACCTACCAGCAATATCTTAGTCAATTGAACTTTTAAACCTCATTTTTTGCATCACTGTTATTTTGTGCGTTTGTTATATGTTCTCTGTTTTATCTCATTCCTAAAGTTGTGGTTAATGGAAATTGTGCGCAGTACTTCCTCTCCAAGCTTTAAAGGAGTAAAATGAGTTTGGTATCACTTTTGAAATGGTGAAACATTTTTAGCTAATTAAAAGCACTTATCAAGTTTTTCATAATGTTAAATTTAAAATTTGTAAGAACATTTAGAAGAACTTTAAAGTAGTTCTAGTAACTATTTTTTTAATTTAATTTAATTTAATTTTTATAACTGGGAGTTGAAGTTTTGCTTCCGGGGCACCTGCCCAAGTAATTCTAGTACTCTTTGTATGGAAATTGGGTGGGGAGGATAAAATTTTGTTATAGAGTTGTAGGAAATTAAAAAGTCTACTTGGTATCAACATAACTTCTGAATGATTTTCTCACTATTTGTTATTTGGCTTCCGTTCAATTTATCATCTTCAGATGCATGAAGCACCTCCAGAAACAGGCAACTCCAAAGGGTGTAGAACTACGAGACGATGAGTTCATATTGCACGTGGAGGGAACTGCTAGCTCCCAAAGGGTAGTGCGCCACATCGGATCAACAAGTTGGCCTGGTTAGATTTTAGAAAATTCCCATTATTCCATTTCCCATTTGATTGACCTGTCTTCATATCTTGGAGTTTTTACCATTGCTGTTTTCCATTGAGAACATTTCCAAGCACGAAGGTTGTTCCTTTTGTTTCAGGAAGGCTTACATTAACTAATTACAGCCTCTACTTTGAGGCTTCGGGTGTGATAAGATATGAAAATGCAGTTGAGATAGAACTCTCAAGGGACACTATGCACAATGTGAAGCCAGCTTCCACTGGACCTTGGGGTGCACCACTTTTTGACAAGGCAGTAGTCTATGAGTCCCCTGGGATGTGAGGATATATATATATATATTTTAATTTTTTTGCAATGATCGAGCAATTAGTGTTAAAGAAACCCTTCATTTATAACGAATCCAAATATTTCTCTTACCTTTCTAGATCAGAGGAAGTTGTGTTGGAGTTTCCAGAGGTAACAAGTTCCACAAGACGTGATCATTGGCTTGCACTGATAAAGGAGATCATACTCTTGCATCGTTTTTTGCGGAAATTTAATGTGAAAAGTCAAATGCACGTGTGGGAAATGCATTCTAGAACAATATTGGGGATTATAAGGCTTCATGCAGCCAGAGAACTGCTTAGAATATCTCCACCTATTCCTACAAAGTTCCTAATCTTTGCCTTGTGTGACGAGTTACCGAAGGGTGACTATGTACTAGAAGAACTTGCTGAAAATCTAAAGTTGCTGAATATTGAACAACCATGTAGTGCTACTTCAACCTTGAGATGTATGAACATGTCAGAGTTATCCAACTCCAGAGTAAAAGAAATAAAGAAAGTTTGTAGTGCAAGTGAACTTGATCAAGCACAGTCCTCCTTACAGAATGCCATTGATCAGGCCAGAGAAGAAGATAAGGAAGTTGCCGTTGCCAAGGCTACTGCTGTAGGTCTGAAAGAAGAAGGAATCGGCGAAAGTGCACTCATCTTCCTGGTAAGTATCTTAATGTAATAAAATATTGTAATAATTACATTCTCTAGTGACTTATGTTGAAATCAGGACTCGGTAAAATTATCAGGAGCTATTGAAGCCACTTAAGAGCAGGTTACCTTGGTTCAAAGAAGTTCTTGAATGGGAAAGGCCAATGGCTACCATTGTTGTGCTCGCTGGGTCTTTGATAATTACATTTAAGTAAGTTATGTTTGGCCATTCTACATGCACCAAATTACCCAATTGGACATTCAAATACTCGTATTCTTCTCTATTAAGGGTAAATTAGCAACTAAATGTACATTCACGAATGTAGGGAGTGGTTTGGCAAGGCCATGGCCGCCCTGCTGTTTTGGGTGGTTGTGGTGATGCTTCAAGCGAGAATGGAAAAGATTCAGGACAAGTGCGACGAGATTGTGGTCTGCACTGCCTCTGACCAGAGTACGATGGAGACCATTGTGGCTGCCCAACAAAGTTTGCAAACTGTGCACGAGATGGTGAAAACTGCAAACATTGCAGTGTTGAAGATTTGGTCCATTTTCATATCCAAAACCCGCAAGGTAGATTTGCATTTCTTAACTAAAGTTTTGTATGCTTTTTCTAGAAGTCATCTAATCATTCAATTCTAACGAGATTCAATCTAAATTTCTTTGGATAAAAGTATTGCTCAACATTGGCAGTGGAAAATATACAAATTTCAGATTATCCCTACAAGAAACTGTTTTATAACTAGGGACCACAAGGAACTACTGGTATGGTGTGGAAAGGACACTTATGGGCAGCTGTTTTAAAACTAGTTTTTCTTGGCCCGAATGTTTCAATGATAGGATTACCATACCATTAGGATATAATTGGGGATAATAGAGTATTAAGGGTATATTGGGAATTGTGTTAGGAAGCTTGGTTATAAATAGAGCATAGGGAAAGGGTGGAAGTAGGCAATTGGTAGCATGGAAGTAGGTAATTGGTAGTATAGTTTAGGCTTGAGTAAGAATACTCGAGAGAAGGGAGGGTCCAATTACCTCGTTGGTAGTTATTGTGGTTCTTCTATTTCAATACATTTGTAGTTCGGGTTCTATCGCCTTGTTTCTAATCTTATTGAGAAATTTGAACATCTGGCGACTACTGACGGTTGAGAAACTTCTTGTTTCTATAAAAATCTTGGAAACAAAAAACTTTGTTCTCTTGTTCCCGTTTCCCACGAAATCGAGTTTCCTTTATTTTTTTTAAGAACAAGAAATAGTTACAAAAGCAACCATCAACAACAAACGGGAACATTATCAAATTGAAGTAGTTATTTGAAACAACCCTGCTCATGGCGAAGGAGTAACTACTTTATAGCTCTTAAAACAGAATTATTCTGACATATTTTCACAAAATTCGTAGAAAATTTACCATTTTTGAAGTCTCTCCTCTCTTCCCATTTAAATAACAATTTGCATTTCTGGTGTGTTGCAGCACGCAGACATGGCAATGGCGGTGTTGAGTGGCCTGGCAATAACACTGGCAGTAGTTCCAACCAAGTACATAGTAATGGGGGCAATTCTATATTGCTTTTTCACGACCTCAAAACTGCGGAAGAAGCAAGAGGACACCAACAGCGGAGGAGACAGACGGCTAAAAGAATGGTGGGACTCTATCCCTGTTATCCGCGTTCGTGTTGTGGACAAACTTCCCAATCCTGACAGCGCCAGCCCCTCGTATTAAGGGTAATTCTCAATTCCCCCCCTTTTCATGCTTTCAATGTTCAGTCTGATTCTGTGTGTGGGGTCAAATTAAAGTCCTTGAAAATTTGTGAATATGGACAATGGAAAAGGCCCACATGACCTATGGGATTAGATTTTAGAAGGGTTTTTGGTTGTGGGGCTGAGTTTTTGGACTTGAGTTTGATCTGAAAATTCTGGGGTTTTTTGGGTTCAATTTTGGACTCTTTTTTAGGTGTAACAAATAAAGTGGATGAGGTATTGATACACGTATATTGGAATAAAATATTGTCTGTGATGTGATTGAGATTCTTTAGAAGAAATTCTGCATGAATTTGCTGTCGATTCTCCTCTTCTTAGACCTATTTATCTGCAAATATTGCTTTGGGAAAAAATGGCCAAAATAAACGTGTGTGATGATGCACTCTAGTGGATTGAATTGTAAAGGTGGTCTAAAGATTTTAAAACACATAGGCATAAGTTAAGTTAGTTCAGACATTCACGAAATCACAAATGTATTAGTCTATGATTCTACAAATGTACAATGTTGACCAATATGGTCTATAATTTAATTAACCTGAGCAAAGATTAGAGGTTCTAATGTCTAGAAATTATTGATACAAATGAAATTTGAACTTGATGAAAACTTCAAGTGATTAAATTATGTACTAGAGCCCTATAATTATTGAATTTATTTATTTTTTAAATAATATCAACCGTGTAATGAATTTTACAGGAACGTCCTAGGCCATAATTAATGTAAAATATCCATTCATGGGGCCCTCTTATGAAACATAAATTGTTGAGCTAATTTTAAAAGGAGGCAACGAACTTAACCCGTCAATAGCTCGAGTATTACTCGACAGTTAAAATATTTTTAATTTGTTTAAAAGGTCACTTTGGATCCTCAATTCGAACGACCTTCGAATATTTCACTATAAATTTAGATTTCATTTGTATTTATAGTGTAATTTATGATATAATATTAAGAAGTAGGGACATTAACATATAAATTATAATAATTTAGCCTAAAAAAAATTTTAGTACCCATTTTTATCATATAATAATTTATAAATAGTTCCTTGTCAGTTTATCATTTTACATAAATAAGAAAATTTATTAAATCTGAAACTAAATTATTTTCAATTGACTAAATCCTTACAAATACTAAAATTCTATTGTTTAATTTTTACCTTTAAAAGTGCATAAACTACACCATTACAAACAAATTAGTAATACCAATACGAACTTAGTTCACCGGTAATTAGTACATATATATGATCTATGGTATATGATCTATGGTATTAAATATCGACAAGTCGATATGTCTATCGACGGTTTTTGTATCATTGGATTCGAGATAAAAAGATATTTTTATAATATTAAAAATTTGACAAAATATGGAAAACATCACAAAATTTCATTAGTATCATAGTATTAATTATTTAAAAAAATATAATATTAATATTAATAATTTCTAACCTATTTCTAAACATAATATTAATATTAATAATTTCTATTTCTAACCTATTTAGAAAGGGTAGTATGATCTTGAGTTAATTTAAATATATATTTTTTATTTTCATAAATTTTATATAAATATTTATTAATATTGACATTTTACCCAGATCGACCTTTAAAATCTCTATTTCTATTGACGTTTTTATGAAAGTGAGATATCAACGTCTCTAATGAGGTCGACATTTAAAAATTTGCTATGAACTAAAAAAATAATCACATAAATAAAAAATACATATGAAGAGTGTTTTTGTAAAATATTTAATATTCAGGTCGGTGAAATCAGATATTTTATCCAAAAGGGATTCGAAAACCCAGATATTTTCCTTTTCCTATTTAGCCTCACGAGTGGATCCAGATATCCCAATCTCGCAAGTGAAAACGTGAAACGCACGCGCTCACACACTCACGTGCGCTCTCGCTCCTCTCACGTGACGCCCTCTCTCTCTCTCTACCCTTTTCTTTCACTTCCATTTTCCTCTTCTCTCTCTCTCTCTTCTCTCTTTCTTTCTCAGTGAAGTATATGCGAAGCCGAAAGAAACTTCTTCTCTGCAACTCTTCGCCGGAACCCTAATCGCCGAAACCTGAACGGAGATCGCTCCACGTCCGGCCACCGGCGAGAAGATGGACGTCGATCAGTCTGATTCGCAGAAGCCTCAGACTTTGCAATCCCTAGCCAGTGGTTCTCTCGGTTCGTCTCTGTCGAGGCTCTCGGGCTCTTCCCGGGGCATTCCAGCCGACAAAGACTTCCACTTCTATTACAACTTCGACGAATTCAAAATCCCTATACGGAGCATCGAGCGGCAATCTCAGTCGATGCTCGAGACCATTGGCTCGTCCGCCGGAGTGTGGGGCAAGGAAATGGCTTTCCCCGAGGATACCGACGACGCGTATGATTGGTTGGTCAATGTCAATGATGAAATATTTGAGCGGTTTGATGTGTCGCTGGACGAGTTCCAGAGGATTCGGAAGGAGGAGGAGGAGGAGGAGAGTGGGAGGGCAGTGGCTTTGACGACGGCAGACCCGGATGATGGGTTTCAGTTGGTGTGTGGGAAGAAAAAGAAGATGCCGAGTCATGGAGATGATTTGCATGATTCGAGTTTGGAGTCGAGTGTGAAGGTTGCTACCAAGGATAGGAAAACTATGGGGGTGAAGCCGAAAGTTCCATTTCATATACCCACTATTCGTAGGCCGCAGGATGAGTTCAATATTTTGGTTAATAATTCAAACCAGCCTTTCGAGCACGTTTGGTTGCAAAGGAGTGAAGATGGTTCCAGGTTTATACATCCACTGGTTAGTTTAACCATTTTATGGCTTATCTTGGTCTTAAAGTGCTACTTTTCCCCTTTCTTTGTGTTTATTTTTCTGTTTGTTTACAGAGGAGTGAAGAGCACATTTGGCTTAAATTAACTTCTCTAGGTTTTTGGCATTACTTTGGCCAGTCAAGACCAAAATTTTAATGGCCAGGATAAGAAGTTTTTGGTTTATCTTTTATGGAGATGGTCTGTAGTTTAGCTAGGGAGGGATAGTGATTGAAATTCTGGTGTTCAATGGGATTGTCAAGTGCATAGCGTGTTTCCACTTTTATTCAGCAGTTATCGTTTGTGGAAGTTGGGAGTTGTTGCTTACATCAATTTGCTTGTGCAGGAGAAGTTATCTGTATTGGACTTTGTTGATAAGATTGATGAAGATTTTCAACCTGCTTATCCACCATCTTTGGAGTCTACTCCTTTCAAATTCATTGAGGAAGTCAATGACTTGAAAGATCTGGCATCTAAATTGCGGGGGGTGAATGAATTTGCGGTACAAAACTATTACTAATTTTATGTTTTGATGTCATAATGAGGAAGCATATAGATCAGAAGGGGACCAGTTTTTTTGTTATGTAATTTAAACCATGTCTAAAATTATTTTAGCCTTACAAATGCTTACTTCTCAAGCTTTCATGTTTGCGTTATTAATTTGAGATGGGGAAGAAATCAGTAAAAAGCATAAATATGATCCAAGATCTGTTGCAATAATACCAAGTAAATCAGAGGTTGGTGTTAACTTTCAATGGAACATATTGCACTTGTAGAGTCTCTCATGTTATGATTTATTGATAAATATCTAATTCCCTTTTAACATGCATTCTATATCCACACTTTCTTTGCAATTTTGAGTTCTATGGTCTATTATTTGATGCACGCTATTAATGTTTTAGGTTGATCTGGAACATAATCAGTATCGATCTTTTCAAGGACTTACCTGTCTGATGCAAATATCTACAAGAACTGAAGATTTTGTTGTAGATACATTGAAGCTCAGAATTCATGTGGGGCCCTATCTGAGAGAGGTTTTCAAGGATCCTTCCAAGAAAAAGGTTGACGTTTGGAGAAAAAGAGTTGTTTGTTGGCATTTTAGTTTGCATGGGGTTTTTATGATAATATTTATCCTCATTTAGGTGCTGCATGGAGCAGATCGAGACATTGTGTGGCTTCAACGGGATTTCGGGATTTATATTTGCAACTTATTTGACACTGGGCAGGTGGTCTTATATGCCATTATCTTGGATATTCAAGTTTTTGTTTTTTATGGTTACTCCTTGTCAGATTCTACTTTGTCTACATTAGCATGATGGTTTGCAGCTTATAATGTCATTCATAGGTTCTTGCACGAACTTATCCCCTTATATATACACAGTTTTGTCTACATTAGAAGTATTCTGACATCTAATCAAGGTTTTCCATTGATTATAGGAACTAGAATGTCTCTGAATTTCTGATTATCAAAAAAATCATCATCCTTAGCAATCATTCCTTTTTTTTTTTAATTTTTTATAATTGGGAGTTGAAGCTTTGCTATCCTATACCTAGGGGCACTCGTCTGCCCTGGGCAGGACATCCTTAGCAATCATTCTTTTAAATTATATATTTTTTTTCTTGGGTATATCAAATTCAATATTCCAAGTTTAATGGTTTTTTTTTTATAAATGTATTTCCTGCTTTTCTTGCCATCAAATAAGGCTCTACTTGTGGCTTATTGGCTAGTGGCTCTTGGGATTTGTTTCCTGGGAATAAGTGGTTTTGTGATAAATTATTTTTTCAAGGATTGTCTAGTTTTAGTCTTATTTCTCTTTATGTTAACTTGAAGAAAATGAATAGCTCTACCTGGAGATTTATACATTTTCTATCCTCAGGCTTCAAGAGTATTGAAACTAGAAAGAAATAGTCTGGAGTATCTCCTTCATCACTATTGTGGAGTTGCAGCTAATAAAGAGTAGGGGATTTCTCTCTCTGAATCTGGATGCTGTGTGTGTGGGTTGGTCTTTTTTGTAGCTTTAACAGTTAAATTCGTCACAGATACCAAAATGCAGACTGGAGATTAAGACCTCTTCCCGAGGAGATGCTGAGGTATAAATGTCTTTAGGTCCTGTCATAATTTTTTTTCCATATTACTTATACCTTATTTATTTTACTCCTTGGGGATGCAAATTATTCTTATTTTTTTCCCTTGTAGTCTTTGCGTACAGCATTTGACAATTTTCCCCATAAATATTAAATGTATTATTGTGAATTTTAGGAATGAGACGAGATAAATGTCATAAAATATTTAAGCTCATGGCAAACAGTTAGAACTATGTCAATAAGGAGAAAATAGGACACTGGTGTGTGATGATTCTTAAGTTAAGAGATCAGTGCAACTTTTCTAGTATGGAGGCTTCTGTTAGTGTATTTGGTGTAACTAGTATTCTTTTTTCGCTGTAAAAGTCCAACAAGTGGAGTGTCCAACATGTGCAAAACAAATTACCCAAATGAAAGTGTCCATGCTTTTTAAAGTGTGTGGTATTGCTTGTACATTATTTTGTTGTATCCTCAACAACTTTCCTCATCTTTAATTCCGTTTCTTTTAATGACAGATATGCTAGGGAAGATACACATTATTTGCTGTATATTTATGATTTGATGAAGATGAAACTGTCCTCGATGCCCCGTGAATCTGAAGAATCTGACTTTCCTTTGGTAGAGGTACAGTTTCGATTGGCATCTTATGCTATATTTCTTATGAACTCTTGATCTGAAAGTACTGGATTTTACGGAAAAGTAGTTAATCTTTGTTCAGCTTCATGTTCACTTTTTGTACTGCTTATCTTGATCTACCTTCACGTTTGCACCACAAATTGTAGATTCTCCTTAAAGTTACTGTCAACTGAGGTCTTAAACAACGTTCATGTTTTTAATGGTTTTATCAGGACAGGAAGTGAACTAGCCACTTAAAAGATAGGATAAACTTATGTACAGTTTTCTTTTTCCTTCTCCTTTTCCAATATGACATTTTTCAAAGGAAAGCTTGGAATCTGAGCGAATTCATTCAGCTAATAGATGTGACATAAGAGCTGATGGAATAGTGTATGTAACTTTCTCTGGATTAAGATTTTTTCTAGTAAACATTCCTTGAGCTTGTCAATGTTCAAAAGTTTGATGTTGCTTCAAGTGTGGAAATAAAAATTACAGGGTGCATCATCATCATAATCTTCGTCATCATTATTTTTAAAATTTTAGTTTAAGGCTTATCCTGCCGCATGAGATTTTCCCTACAACACTATGAGATTTGTGTTTTACTCTCACCTATTAAATTTTTGGGGATCCGTTTTTTCTTATGTGTAGATATAGGTTTGCTGCCTTCTACATTTTGATTGAATTAGAGTTCCACTTCATGTTTTCTTTTTTGAAACACGGACATGGTCAAAGTCCAACCCCAGGGCTTACAAAAAAACAAAACCCCAATTGAAGTTCATTACAATCCTAGCCTTTTTACCACTTTTTCCCAATTTTTTCTGTTGCTGAAAAATCTTCTTCAATTTTCCTCCAACCAAATTCTCGTGGAAAAGATTCTCCTCATGGACCACAGGCTCAGCATCATTTTCCTCATCATCTAAAGAAGCATTACAGCTTCATGTTTCACTTGCCCCATGTCTACAAAGGAGTTGTTATACATTCCCCCTTATCGAGACATAAGTCCAGTGTGGCCATTGAAGAAACTTAGGAAATCAGTCTGGCAATTAGACGGAATTGACTCTGAAAGAAGAGGCGGAACTGATTTTCATCAATTTCCTTACAAAGTACACCAATTCATATATCGCAGCTAATTTGAGTTTCACTGGTGTGACCTAGTGGTCAATAAGGGCCAATGTAAATAGCAAAGGGCTTATAGGGAATGGATTCAAACCATGGTGGCCACCTACCTAGGATCTAATATCCTACGAGTTACCTTGGCAACCAAATGTAGTAGGGTTAGGCAGTTGTCCCGTGAGATTAGTCAAGGTGCGTGCAAGCGGTTCTGGACACTCACGGATATCAAAAACATAAAAAAATTAAAATAAAGGCCACTGGCCACATTACACCATGGGGTGACAAAGATGTGAAATTTGTTAGCAAATATATTGTTATAGAACTGATTTCAACGTGACCCTACTACATGTCTTTATTCCACGGCTGAAATTCTTTAAAAAGCGTTGGGACATTTTTTGAATGTGGCATTACAGAGATGTTCTAAGAATTTTCTCAAAATGGTATTGTTAATGTCACCATTAAAAATTATTAATAACTATTACTTAGGTCCCCGAACATTTGGTAGCTTGTTTATGAGGGGATTTAGACCGATAGTTGTGCCACTTATCTGTATAAAATTTGTGTTAGAGGGTTTAAAAATTGTGATGCCTTCTAGCATTTTGCATTCCAAACAACCTATAGATTAGTGTTTGATTCTTGGTAGGAAAAATGTTGACCCCATTCTTATAGCCCAAAGTGGTTGATGATTAGAGGAAACGAAATATATCCTGAATAAGTCTGGATGGTATTGCAAGACTTTTTTATACTTGGTTTTGCCTCTGGTTATCTTGTAACTAGTATGTTTCTTCCATCTTAGCCAGTTGGGATGCCTTTTTGTAATCCTTTAGCTTAGGATTTGCTCGTTTGGTGTAGTTCATAAATCCACTATTTTCTTCTTTTTTTGATAAGAGATCCACTATTTTTTTTCTCATCAAAACAAGTTTGGGGGTTGCTCCAACTTTGTCGAGACCTTTTATGTTTTTAATTGATTTAAATTAAGAGGGAGCTGCTAATTGCTTATTTTACTGGAAATTTAATTTTTTTTTGTGTACCATATTTCCATGTGGTTTGACATTTCCTGGGTGATGCGGTATGTAACCTTTCGTGCGGTCAATATAGAAGATAGAAGATTCTGTTGGCCGAAGGTTCTGTTTTGTCTGCTACATAGTATGGAGTTTACCTTTTTGATGAAGCTACTCGTTTCATGTAGGTCTACAAGCGGAGTTATGATGTATGCCTGCATCTTTATGAGAAGGAGCTGTTGACTGAAAGTTCATATCTTTATGTATATGGGTTAGTCTTCTTGTTTCTTTTATCTTTGGTAAAAAGGACATTACCATTTTGAGTTCTTTACTTTTCCTCCAGCTAGTGAAATTTCTTTCCTTTTCTTATCTCCTTGTGTTCAATGGTATTCGTTGATAATTTTTTTATTCAATTTATTTTAATACAGATTGCAGGGTTCTGGTTTCAACGCTCAACAACTTGCTGTTGCTGCAGTAAGGTTCCTTACCCTTCACATTTTATCCATACTATACTATGTCTGCATTATGATGGTTACGGGGTTGATGACCAATTTTCAAATATCTTTTTCTTTTAATACAAAAATGGGGGATGAGCAATCCACCCAATTTTCTGAGGAAATTATTAAAAAGGACCCCAATCAGCATAAAAAATGAAGGGATTACAATTACAAAATCTGACACAGCAATCCGTTCTTCACACTCAGTGTCTGACAACCTTCTTCTGGACTGGAGGTTTCAACTCTAGTTTGTGTCAGTCCAGCACTCCTTGGATAATTATTTTGTTTTTGGTAGGGCTATTGGTAGAATATGCCGTTATCAGAAAAGGGTTTTAGAGTTGTGGTCATACCTTTCCACTTAACCAAAACGAGTAGAGCCATCTCCCACTTGGCTTGAGTATCATTATCCTGCTAGTGCTAGTATATGCTCTGAGAAATGGAATAAATATGGCCAAAGCGAGCAATAGCTCAGCGGTAATTGGCATATACCTCCAACCATGAGGTTGTGAGTTCGATTCCCCACCCCTACATGTTCTACTAAAAAAAAAGAAATGAAATAAATGGGTTATTTAGGCCTCGTTAGATAATTATTTAAGATTTTGAAAATCAAAAGAGTTAGTTTCCAAAAACTTGTTTTTGTTTTTAAAATTTGGCTAAGAATTCAAATGTGTTATGAATAAAGGTGAAAAAATACTAAAAAATTGTGAGAATACTAGTGATATTTTGATAAAATTAATTGATAGGAGGCTATATCACATGTCATATTTAATTTATGTTGCTGGAAGTAAATACAAAGCCTTAATCTCTGTTCAGTAAAAACTTTATTTACTTTGTGACAGGGTCTCTTTGAGTGGCGAGATATTGTTGCTCGTTCAGAGGATGAAAGTACTGGTTACATACTGCCAAACAAAACGCTTCTGGAAATCGGTACTGGGAAACCTGTGCTGACATAGTTAGGAATTATCACTTTTTTCTTTCTTCTGAATTTTTACATCTTTTTCTTACTGTTAAAGCCAAGCAGATGCCTGTCAACGTAAGCAAATTACGTCGAATACTGAAATCAAAGCACCCATATCTTGAGCGCAATCTTGCTTCAATTGTTGACATCATTAGGCATTCTATGCTAAATGCTTGTGCCTTTGAAGAGGTTGTAGAGCGCTTGAAGGAAGCCCGTACAGAGGCGTTGGCGGTAAGGCTTGTGCATATAGTAACACCTATAAAACCACATAATTATGCTATTGTGACTTGAGAATATTTTCCTAAGGTTTGGGGCTGCCTTCCATGAATTCATGGTGGTTCGAGATATTAATTATATTTAGTGTCAGTGTTAGTTTAAATGAGATAAATGGAACGTATTTATTCATGGAGTCACCGGCTTCATATGTGGTTACATGGCAGACATTGGAAGAAAATGCATCAACTAATGAACAACGAGAGACTATTGTACCCGATACTTCGAATTTGAGGCACACAATTCCGATTATGAAGGATGGTGCTGTTGATAAATCTGCCAATGATCGAATCTGTTCACCCTCTTCTCAGTCTAAAGTTGCACCCTTGGAACATGGATACCGGCCATTTGAACCTGGAAAATGTATTAAGGTGGACCATTCCCTGCATCCTGCTATGAACGGGAGTAGACAGGTCTCTCAAGTGGGCCCAACAACTTCAGAGCCGAGCAGACACTTGAACGGCGATAAATATCCAGTAGCACAGGTTGTCAAATATCTCTAATTGACCATAGTTAAAGACTAATTAGAAGAACTTTCTCTTGTTTGTCTGTGTTTGTTTTCTTTGCTTTGAGATCTATGTTCTAAATGATTTCCCTTTAAGGTTACTGGAGTGAACATTTCGTTACAAAAGAAGAGTAATCGAGGTGGTCTGGGGGCGCTACTGGGAAACTCGGCCCCGAAGAGAAAATTAGATACCGATAAGAAGGTGAGTACTGCACAAGATAACAGTTTCTTGTACTGCTTCCTGTGATGCTGCTTCATTAATATTGCTCTTTTTATCTCCTATTAGGATAAGGAAGAGAACAAGTTGGATAAAATTAGGTCCTCCGTGGCTCTACCCTTCCATTCGTTCTCGGGAACAAGTGAGCAGTTGAAGCCTGTTACAGAACCGACCATGACTGCATTAAAAACTCAAAATTCTGAAGCACCTGCTGCCGAGTCAGCGAAAAGCTCGAAGGTAGAACCTCCTGCCATACCAGTTGCAAAGCCCTGCTCGGATGGGATTATTATGTTGGAAGACGATTCAGATGACGAAGAAGAATCCCATCCTGTAGCAGAAACCGCTGATGAGCAAAAGTTGAAAGGTTTTAGTGCTAGTTCACCTCTTGAAATTGACGACGACGACGACGAGCCAATGTCTCTGTCTGAATTGTCCTCTAGCTTTCAGAAATGTTTGAATTCAAATGAACAAGCTATGGACATTGGAGGAACTGGCAATTCAGGAAAACAAAGTGGCTTTTTGCAGCTCGAACCATTCAACTATGAAGCAGCAAGGAAACAAGTAGTATTCGGAGAAGACCTAGAGGAAGACGACTCGAGACCTGAGGATGACAAAGACCCAAAGCCATCAAAGAACGCTGGGGCAAAGTTAGGTTTAGGTCTAGATAGAGTTCAAAAGAACAGTGGCACCATGGAATTACCACAGGGCAAACGACGCCATGCCTTCCCCGCAACTGGAAATCGAAGTGCAACTTTCCGCTAAATCGATGTAAGTGATTTTTTTCCCTCTGTAAAATACAGACATCACTGGTATGGTATGATATTACTAGTCAAAAAGATTTCTCAAGTATTAAAAGGAAAGAAGTATTAAGGTAGTAGTGTTTGTTGAAAGAGTAAGTTTGCTTCTTGTTTTCAATTTGGTGTTGGGGGTACAAATCTAGAATGGTCTCCTAAATCACTTTTGCCTTCCCAAATTATAATTAAGAGTAATTGTGAGTATAACTCAATTGGTTAAGATATTTTCGATTAAAATGTCGGAAGATCGAACGGGACATAATAGAGAATTGGTGAAATTTGCTTTAGATTGTTTTGAGTTAGGGATGAATTATATTATATTTAGAGTGAAATATCCTCTTGTTGATATCTATAGCCTCAAATTTTCTTCTTTTCTCAATCTTGTTTTGAATTAGGGATGGATTATATTATATTCAGAGTTAAATATCCTCTTGTTTTGAGTTAGGTCCCTTCATAAAAGTTAAATATTTTGATCTTCATACTTTAACTTTGTTTTGTAATACTAGTTCCTATCTATTTTTTGTTATTGTACTTTTAAAATATTCATTTATCTTTCCTTTTTTTTTCGAAAACAAATTTTCAAAGGTTATTGGGCAAAATGTCCTTATAGAAGTGCATATTTGGTTAAAAATCCAAAAGCTCAAATAATTGCAGAAATATTAGCAAATAGTTGAGAAGTCCTCATCTAAACTGCAGAATTTTCAAAAGGAATGGGAGAGGGAAGGGGGTAATACAACTTGTTTTCTAATATTTGGTCATTTTGACAAATCTAAAATGTAGGGAAGGGCATTCTACACGATAAACTTTTTTGATTTATTGTCGTAATTTTATATTAAAGAGTTTTTATTGTGTATAGAATAAGACAAAATAGATATAATAATTTTTTTTAGAAGTGTAAGGATTAAAATGTGCTCTTTGAAAGTATTGAGACATAGAGGTAAAATTTAAATATTCTTAAAGTAGATGAATGGGAAAAAGAATTAGGTTTAAATACAATTTTGGTCTTTGTTTTTTTAACTTTTGTTTCGTGTATTTTTTACAAATTATTATTTTGGTCAATATTTATAAAATTTTACTACAAATTCTATATCCAATAGGAATTTTTTAATACAAATTTATAACAATATTTCAAGAAAGTGAGGGATCAAAATTTACAAAGGGTAAAAAGAATATTTAACTAATAAATTAAATACATACGAGTGTTCAACCAGAAAAATCGCGGAACCTCCGCCACGTCAGACGCTGTGTGAGTTGGCGGTCTCCTATTGGTCCGTCGATGTCAGCCGAAACTTTCATTAGCGTTAGGCATATGAACGAATTCGAACAATCTGAGCCATTCATTACAAAAGCCATCTACGGCTACAAGACAGCACGTCACCATCTCGAATGCGGCGTCGTTTTGATTTTCCTTAGCGAAGGAGAAAATCAATCTGGCACTTCTCCTTCTCCTTCTTCGTTTCCTTCGTTGGGATCCTTTAATTGGAGAGACTCTTTTTCCGTTCGACTTTCATCGAATTCCTTGGTTTAATTTCGCTCAAATTTCTGAAATTTCGTGTCTTCTACTTCGATTTGGAATCCGGAATTTGACGAACCCGAAATCAATCTCCATCGCTCTGTGTGGTGATTACTATGGCGGCCATGGAAGGAGGAGGAGGGACGCTTTCTGAGATATACCAGAGTGCGAAGAGGCTCCTGTTGAGGACCCGAGATGGGCTTGAGAAACTTGAGCGTCTTGAGTACTCTGCGCCCAGCGGCGACTCCCCCGACCTCTCTTCCTCCATCAAGAGGGATATTACTCAGATCCAGTCCCTCTGCGTTGAAATGGAACGCCTCTGGCGCTCCGTAGCCGCCAAGTCTCAACGTGATTTGTGGAAAAGGTTCTTGTTCCATTACCCACCTTTGCGTTTTCTGATTGGGGTCGAATTTTGAATTTTTTGTATTTACTTGTTTTTTTTTTTCATTTTTAATTGAAAATTTTGTTGTTCTTTACTGATTTGTCAATTCGTCAAATGCGGTGGATGTCATGTCCTTCCCTTCGTGTTATGTGCCTTTCGTTTCCCATTGTTTCTTACGCAGAAGGGAACAGAAAAGGAAAGATAAAGAAAAATGAAATGGGGTGCTCTCATAGATTCAGGGTTGAGTTTGGTTTGAGAAGTACTGCGTTTATTTTATAATTTTCTAGCGTGTTGCATTTTGGGGTTGGAATTTTATTGAAAATTTGGATGGTTTTACGATTTATTTTGAATTTGGTGACCCGTAGCCTTGATGTGGCACAATTGGGTATTATCCTGCAGAAAGGTGGAACAGGTTGCTGAGGAGGCCGACTCTATGAAGCAGAGTCTGGACAAATATTTTCTTAGAAACCAGAAGCGGATGATGGAAGCAAAAGAGCGAGCTGAATTGCTTGGAAGAGTTGTATGTACTTTTTATTAGCTACTTGTTGCTTTTGGTGACTGAAACCCTTTAACCTTTCATTTTGACTGGTATTTGGTTATGTTTTTGTAGAGTGGAGATTCTGCTCACATTTTAAGGATTTTTGATGATGAGGCTCAAGCCATGAGCTCAGTTCGAAGTTCGTCACGGATGTTAGAAGAGGCTAGTGCGACTGGAGAAGCAATCCTTTTAAAATACTCTGAACAGAGGGAACGCCTGAAGGTACATATATGCACAACTGAGACCATGTAGATAAATATGTTTATATTTACTATATTTACTGAGGCTAATGTTAATTGTTAGAACAATCTTTGAAATGTTATTGATGTATCCCCTATAATTCTGAACATTGTAAAGAGTCTATTCCATATTCGTAGTCTCCTGTTGCTTTAGGATAGCTGCAGGATGATCATTTTAAATGAATTGATTCAAAATTTGGAAGAAGTTGTATTCTACATACGAATTTTTATATTTTGGCAGTTATAGTTTGTCCTTGAGTAAAAAAGCACTTCAATTGCCTTTAAACATGTGCATCATATTTGTGCTGACTGCTGATTTAAGACACTGAGGGATGTTTGACTCACAGAATTAATGAAGTTTATGTTTGTGTAATCTATGATTAGATTGAGCAAGATGAAGAGAACTGAGAGGGAGAGGCGGAGAGGAGGGGAAAAGGGGAGAGAGATGGAATAAGAAATGAGAGTGAGAAAACTAGAAGAAAAATGAGAGGAAAAATGATAAGGAATAGGGGGTGAATGGAAGAAAAAATAAAGGTGGAGACAGAGAGAAATGAGAGAGAGTGGAGGGGATAAGGGGAGAGAGCTGAAAGAAGAAATGAGAATGAGAAAACTAGAGGAAAAATGATAAAGAAGAGGGAGGGGAATGGAAGAAAAAAGAAAGGTGCAGGTAGACGAGAAATGAGAGGGTGGGAGAGAGAAGTTGAAAAGATAGAGTATTACAAAGGTTAAACAAAAAAGAAGAGTGGATATAGAGCCACGCGAATGAGGGAGGGAGAGAGTGTAAAAAAGAAAATACTGGATTCACGTGAATGCAGTATGGAGTTTTTTTTTTAATTTATAAATCAGTCGGTTGGTTTGCATTGGTATGGGACGAGCCGACCAACCGACTAATCGATTTTGCAAAGGACTACCAATGCTGACCTTTCATCATTCGAACTGACTAACCGATGTTGGTTCGTTCTAGTTGGTCGGATCGGTTTTTTATGTTCGTTTGTGCACCTCTAGTGCTATGATTATTTGATAACCTTTTCTGTAGAAAAGACTTATGATTATCCTTACTAAAATAAAGAACTTTCTTAGTATCATTTTATTGTTCTTCAGACTGATTGAAACATGCAATTGTAATTTGTAAACCATGGTTAGGTTGAAATGAAATCTGCATCTACTTTACTTACAGCCTTGTTGGATTCGAGATGATCTCCCTCACTGTTCTCTCTCTCTCTTTCTATCTCTAATATTCATTCGTTTACTTTTGTGTATCAGAGAGCACAAAGGAAGGCACTGGATGTGCTCAACACAGTGGGGCTCTCCAATGCAGTACTCAAACTGATCGAGAGACGGCACCGAGTTGATAATTGGATTAAATATGCAGGCATGATTTTAACTGTCGTAGTTGTATTCGTATTTGTTCGATGGGTACGATGATTTCCACATACTGATTGTCGGACAATTCGATCTATGCTGGCTCCTTGAAGGATACATATTGAGGCTGCTTTAATTTGGCCTCCCAGTGTAACACTTCTGCAGGTTTCACTGCCATCTAGAAGACAAAATTCTATACACTAAATAGACTACTTAGGAAGCGCACGAGCACAGCTACTATGGAAGACGACCTTCATGTCGAGCTTGGCAATTGCGATTACTCGACGACAAGTTTTCAGGTAATCTGCAGATTATCTTCTGGGTTGCCATCGTTAAGTTCTGATTCTAAATGCATGGATCTACCAGAAGGAGCTGCTTTATGATGGTGCTGATTCCAGGCTCTTTTCAGTAAACACTTTATGAACTTCTGAAGTTTTTTGGTGCCTTAGTTCTCAATTAGTTTTCTTTTTAGTACTATAATTCAACTGGGGGAGATAGTTTTGGTATAAATGTCTTGATGAGTCGAGCTATGTTCAGATCAACGTCTTTTCAATTTTCAAAGGTAGGGTATTGGTATGGTTCTTAAAGTGCTTAAATATGTAAATTCTACTTGTGTGACCATTTTGCCCCAAGTTTGATTCAAAATTCCCCAAATTTAGGTAAGATCAATCTTCATTGTGTTGAATTATGAAAAAAGTTTCAGCAACTTACAGTTGGTTTTTATTTTCCCTCAAGCTCAATATGTACAATGAAATATTTTGAATGAATTAGATGGTGAATATTGACAAGGTTTTGATTAAATATATTAGAAAAATCATGATAGATATATTGACAACACTAAAAAAAATATTTTTAATCTCCCGATGTTAAATCAATGATTTGATCTGCGTAAACATAATTGAATAGGTCAATACATTACACTTTCATCTATTTTATAAAAAATTCTAAATAATTCTAAATACTAAACTTGTACTGGAAGATATTTTTAATAACATTTATATAAATATTGTATTTTATAAAAGTAATTACGAACATATCTCGAAATTGTGATATTTTATGGTATAAATTCCAAAATTTGACCTTTTAGATAAGGCAAACTATGATCTAATTTCGGCAATTAATGAAATTAAAATATTTTTTTTATCAATTTTTTAAAATGAAAATTTATTAATTGATTTTAAACTTTTCTAAAATTAAAATTTTAATTTGCCCGGAAGTCATGTGTTCAAGCAATTATGTTTATTTAATTTCAATTTTCTATTTATAAGAAATGACATTGTTTCATTACTAATGAATAATCTTTTTTAGTCAGTTTTGTTTTTCTGTTTAATTACTAATAATAATTTAGAGTTGATTTGATAATTATCATTTTTTTATAAAGTTTTTTTTTTTATAGTCTTTCAATGAGTAATTTAGTCCCCTGAGAATATGTCAGACTCATGGTTCTACCTTCTTGACTTTGACTTATATCTCTTATTGTTTTTTTTTAAAGGTTGACTTATACCTCTTATATTTTGTTATATAATCACTTGAAATAGAGTAGAGTGAGGTTAAATGAGAGATATGCATTGAAAGTGAGACATTATCATAAAATTTTTAAAATATAGAAACAAAATAGATATGATATTGAAAATTTATCTATTTATAAGATATGACATTGTTTATAACTCGTTTCAACTTTACTCTTTTTATATATATAATTTTAAGAATTTATTATTATTATTCAAATCAAGTTTTAATATCAATGTTTTGTTGAAAGGTTGAGTCTTCAATTTTGTGAAAATATTGATAAAATTAAATATAAAATATTTATTTGAAGAATATTTCTAAAATATTAGTTTTTTAAAATCAAGATATTTATAAAATATATTTCAAACTTTTAAATAGGTTACATGTACAAACATGTATGTATATATATAGATACAGTGGCGGATCCATAAATTTGCTAAATTAGTTAAGTTCTTTAAAGTTTTAATATTGGGTTTAATTAATAGATCTATGAACTTTAAAAAAATTATATATCAATAAGTTATTGAACTAATAAATTGTTGAATTTATAAACACAATAGTACAAGTTTCGAACCCGGAACCATGAAGGGGCTATTGGAGAATCGAACTTAGGACCGAGGGAGGGCTTGATGAGCAAAACTTTTGACCACTTAGCTATCAAGCTATTTTAAAATAATTTGAGCATTATTAACTAATATATTAATTTCATAATATCAAAAGATGAGAAGGGGACTCCAGCCCCCAGGCCGAACGTACATCCGCCCCTGTATAGATAGATATATATATATATATATATATATTATTATTATTATTCAAATCAAGTTTTAACATGAATGTTTCGTCTTGAGTCTTCAATTTTGTGATAATATTGATAAAATTAAATATAAAATATTTATTTTGAAGAATATTTTTAAAATATTATTGTTTAAAAATCAAGATATTTATAAAATATATTTCAAACTTTTAAANAAAATTAAATATAAAATATTTATTTTGAAGAATATTTTTAAAATATTATTGTTTAAAAATCAAGATATTTATAAAATATATTTCAAACTTTTAAATGTGTGCACACATGTATGCACATGTATGTATATATATAGATAGGTATATTATTATTCAAATCAATTTTTAACATCAATATTACATTGAGTCTTCAATTTTGTGAAAATATTAACAAAATTAAATATAAAATATTTATTTTGAAGAATATTTYTAAAATATTATTTTTTAAAAATCAAGATATTTATAAAATATATTTCAAACTTTTAAATAGGTTATATGTGTACATGTATGTATATATATGTAATATGTAATATGTATGTATGTGCATATATATACATACATATATATGTATGTGTATAAATATATATATACATGTACGTGTGTATCTATATTACATATATATGTATATATATATCTATATATATATATATATACACATACATATATATAGTGTTATATATATATATATTAAATAATTATTTATTAGAGAAAACTTGCACAAGCCATCTACAATATTGAGATTCTCCTATTCACTAAACTCATCGGTTAAGAGTGAAAACTACTATTTCTACACAATATTGAGACTTGTTTTAAAAAAATCAAAACAACACTTGCATGCGATGAGTGTATGAACTTTAAATATGATATTTCAAATAACACTTGATAGTAAGAACTCAAAAAGTACATACAATTTTTTTAAAAAAACGTCTCATTGTAATCTAAGTCACCCTCACCTCTATTTCAAGCACCAACAATCCAAAATAAGATGGAGGAGGAGGATTAGTTGCTTTAAAGTGCCACATAGCCTGCTCCAGATTGGTTACTGTTACAATCTCATCACCAATGTAAATTTGAAACATATCTACAGGTCCTACAGTGAAAGTGATTCCTCCTATGAACACTTCCAACAATCCATCAGATCTTTCTACTACTCCCTACTGGAACATTAAAACGTATCGATTCACCTGCAATAATGATGAATACATCTCTCTCTGATGGTCCATCACAAAAGTAAGAATATTATTGAAGCTAGGTGGGAGCTCAATTCCAAACAAATAGAGTTCATAACTAGTTTCCATAACTAGCATCCATGTTGGTATGCTGGTTTGGATGTTGATCAAAGGTAGGAAGTTTGCTATCCTAGCATATTCATTCGTCACATTGTCTTCAATTATATTCATGAAATATCACAACTCATCGAGAAGACCAAGCTTCATCGGTCCTCGGAGGAACTTTAATTTTCCAGTGACAAGAGAAAAACTCCATACAGAATGAGTAGAATAGAGACTAGTTTTCCACCTTTGTTTCTGCTTCCCGGCGTTATGTAGATGCCTAATAAACCGAGTGCTAAATTAAATATGATAAAAATGTATATATACCTCGTATCCTATTTTCGATCCTAAGTTTTGTTTCTATATCTCTTTTTCAAAAAAAAAAACGAACAGATCCTAAAGCATCGACAGCTTCACATTTATATGTAGTGAATAAAATCTTACGATATTGAAACTCTATTATCTAATTCGATTTACATTTATAGAATTAAGTATCTATTTAATCAAATAAACCCTCCATTTATAGAATTAATTATCTATTTGATCGAATAAACCCTAAATATGCTCATCGACTTACATTTTTAGTGAGTTGTAGAGCAACACAAAAACGAGTGCGAGAATCATAGCAAGAGCGAGAATGAGAACGAGAACAAGAGTGCCAATGAGAATGAGAACAATAACGTGAGCAAGAGAATTTACAATATCATACATACATGACATCATAATGATATGAAAAGAACACTGGCATGTGATGAGTGTATGAAATTTAAATTTTGTATCCAAAGAGCACTTGATAGTAAGAACTAAAAACAACCTATACAATTTTTTTAAGAAACACCCCGTTGTAATCTAAGTCACCATCACCTCTATTCCAAAAATTAACAAACCAAAATAAAGTGGAAGAGGAGGATTAATTGTTGCTTCAAAGTGCCATATACCCTGCTCCAGATTGGTTACTGTTAGAATCTCATCGCTAATGTAAACTTGAAACATATCTACGGGTTTTCCGGTGATCTCTCTGATGAACATCTCCGACAATCCATCAGATATCGACAATCCATCAGATCTTTCTACTACTCCCCGTGGGACCTTAAAACGTATCGATTCACCTGTTCGCCTCTCTCTGATGGTCCATCACAAAAGTAAGAATATTATTGAAGCTGGGTGGGAGTTGAATTCCAAATTTTGGTTGGAAAAATTGAAAAACAAAATAGGGTTTGTAACTAGTTTTCATAACTAGCATCCATGTTGGTACGTTGGTTTGGATGTTGATCAAAGGTAGGAAGGTTGTTATCATAGCATATTCATTCGTCACATTGTCTTCAATTATGTTCATGAAATACCACAACTTCATACAGAATGAGTAAAATAGAGAGTCAGTTTTCCACATTTGTTTCTGTTTCCAAGCGGTTTTTCACATTTGTTTTTGTTTCCAAGCATTATGTAGATACCTAATAAACCGAGTGCTAAATTAAATATGATAAAAATGTATATGTTCTTCCTCGTATCCTGTTTTCGATCATACGTTTTGTTTCTATATCTTTTTTTCAAGGGAAAAAATGAACGGGCCCTAAATCATCGACAGCTTCACTGATATTGAAACTCTATTATTTAATTCGATTTGCATTTATAGAATTAAGTATCTATTTAATTGAATAAACCCTTAATTTATAGAATTAAGTTTCTATTTAATCGAATAAACCCTAAATATACTCATCTATTTACATTTTTAGCAAGAGTTGTAATGAGAGCAGCATGAAAACGAGTGCCAGAATCATAGCAAGAGCGAGAATGAGAACAAGAACGTGAGCGAGAGAATTTACAATATCATACATAGATGACATCGGGATGGTATGAAAAGAACACTTGCATGTGATGAGTGTATGAACTTTAAATTTTGTATCCAAACAAGACTTGATAGTAAGAACTAAAAACAGCACATACAACTTTTTAAGAAACGTCCCATTGTAATCTAAAACACCCTCTGAAGGAGAATGATTAGTTGTTGCTTCAAAGTACTATATACCCTACCCTAGATTGGTTACTGTTAGAATCACATCGATGTAAACTTGAAACATATCTATGGGTTGTTCGATGATTTATCCGATCAGCACCGGTAGGAAGATTATTATCCTAGCATATTCATTAATCACATTGTCCTCATGTAGGTTCATGAAATACCACAGCTCATCGGAAAGATCAAATTTCCTCGGTCCTAAGAGAAATTTCAATTTTCCAGTGGCAAGAGAAAACCTATGTATAGAATGAGTAAAACAGAGAGTCAGTTTTCCACATTTGTTTCTGTTTCCATGTGCTATGTAGATACCTAATAAATCGAGTGCTAAATTAAATATGATAAAAATATATGTGTCCTTCCCGTGTCCTGTTTTCGATCCTACATTTTGTTTCCATAATTTTTTTTTTCAAAAAACAAGAAACAAACGGGCCCGACCTAAATAATCGACAACTTCACATTTATACACAATGAATAAAATTTTACGATATTAAAACTCTATTATCTAATTCGATTTATACTTATAGAATTAAGTATTTATTTAATCGAATAACCCCTACATTTATAGAATTAAGTATCGAATAACCCCTAAATATGCTCATCTATTTACATGTACGGAATAAAAAATATATAATTTAAAATAAAATTACTTACAATTTCACCTCCAACAGAAGTGGATGAAAATTTGTGTGAGATGTTCATAAATTTATTTCTTGCTCTGTCTTTCAAAACGTAAGATCCCTAAATAAGAATAAATAATCTATAATTTCAAATAAAATTACTTACCATTTCACTTCCATGACATTTTTGTAATTAATAATATTGGTAGTGTTGAAATTTTGTACAAGGCTCACAGTAATTAATAATTAAAGGATTATGATAACAATTTATGGAATTAAATATTTATATTAAAAAAATAAATAACTATAATAAATGTAAATGCAATACACAAGGTAAAATCAGTATTAAAATAAAATCATAATCAAAAAATGTAAAATTAGAAAACTTTAGAAGTTTCTAAAACAGTCCTCCCAATACATTATCTCCAGAAAAATTGGCTGTGCAAAATAAGATTAGGCCCAATAAATTTAGCAACAAAACTATTTAGACATCTTCCAATTTTGCCATTCCTAACAATCAATGCCAAATTTTGGTTCAAAAAACTGAAAAACAAAATATATTTCATAACTAGTTTCCATAACTAGCATCCATGTATGTATGCTGGCTTGGACGTCGATCCAAGGTAGGAAGATTATTATCCTAGCTTATTCATTAATCACATTGTCCTCAAGGTAGGTTCATGAAATACCATGGCTCATCGGAAAGATCAAATTTCCTCGGTCCTAAGAGAAATTTCAATTTTCCAGTGACAAAGAGAAAAATGAGTAAAACAGAGAGTYAGTTTTCCACATTTGTTTCTGTTTCCAAGTGCTATGTAGATACGTAATAAATTGAGTGCTAAATTAAATATGATAAAAATATATTTGTCATTTATTGGGTCCTGTTTTCGATCCTACATTTTGTTTCCATAGTTTTTTTTTTCAAGAAACAAGAAACAAAYGGGCCCGACCTAAATAATCGACAACTTCACATTTATACACAATGAATAAAATTTTACGATATTGAAACTCTATTATCTAATTCGATTATACTTATATAATTAAGTATTTATTAATCGAATAACCCCTACATTTATACAATTAAGTATCGAATAACCCCTAAATATGCTAATCGATTTACATGTACAGAATAAAAAATCTATAATTTAAAATAAAATTATTTACAATTTCACCTCCAAGACAGAAGTAGATGAAAAATTGTGTGAGATGTTCATAAGCTCATACATAGGATCCCTAAATATGCTCATCGACTTACATTTAGAGAATAAAAAATCTATAATTTCAAATAAAATTACTTACAATTTCAGACAGAAGTGATGAAATTTTGGGTGAGATGTTCATAAATTTATTTATTGCTCTTGCTTTCAAATGTAGGATCCAATGCCATTGCGATGAGGTGATCAATGTTGGGAAGGAGAAACCTCCTCCAAACATAATCATAACTTGCTGCCATATTCATTCTTCTCCAAACAAACAGAAGCACTAAATTTTATAGATAGCACAATCTCGAGCTGAGGTTGCATAATTCAGATTGAGATTACATTTTTATATCGTTTCGATATGGGATTATGCTATCCCAGCCCGATATAGTATGTAATTCTTTTATTTTTCATTTTTAGTTTATTTTGGGCATAGTATGATATCTTTTTCCAATGAGCTAAATATTAGTGAAATTTTTATCTTCAAAGTTGTATAAAATGAAAATAAAAATCTTGAGATTTCAAAAGTACATTGAATAAAAGTTGAAATTATAATGCCAAAATGAATGAGTTAAATGTAGACGAACCAAAGTGAACCGAAGTTAGGAATAGAATGACGAAAATAATATTTAAACATTTTTTATACAACAATACTTAGTCACCATCCAACAACCAATGGAAGAGAGAAATGTAAAAATATATATTTTTTATGTTACTTAAAAAAAAGCAAGGCAGGTGTCTAATTTTTAGTGATAATTTTAACGTGGTCCCTAAATATTTCATATGTCAACTTCAATATAGGTTAACAAAGGTATTAATATTTATATCAAAGTTAAAAGTTTAAATTTCTAGTCGTTCAACTGAGCAAACAAATAATTGTGTAGGATGTTAATTTTAGTTTTAATTAATATATGCATTGATTTTGTAATATTATTCTCTACTCTTTCATTTTTGTCTTTAAAAAAAAAAATAATTTAGCTATAATTTTTAAATCTAGAGCAGTGTTAGAAGTCATGCAATTTTATTTTTTTTAATTAGAAAAAAAAACAGGCCTAGAATCCCACTCAAGGTAGAGCCCAACTTTGTGCTAAAAGCTTCTGATGGCAGTGGATGGCGGGGGCATTGCCGAGGGCCCAAGAGGGGTTCTGTCGAAAAGGCGGGAACTTTGCGGGAAAAGGCGGGGCATTGCCGAGGGCCCTATAATTAATTTACATATTCATGGAAAAACTCCCGAATCGTTTCTGTAATCTGTATAGCTCACTTGAACTGGAAAGAGCACAATACAAACATTCATCTTCTTCTACTTCTGATCCTGCATAGATCGTCGGAAAATAGCGGCAGAGGCAAATTATGGAGGCCCTTTTGAAGGTGAAACACTTTTGGAGTTCGCTTCGATTACTGCGGTTGTTTTTTTGACTTGCATTTATTTGTTGATGAATGACGATGAATGATAATGATAGCGTTTGTAAAAGAAATTTGTGGGGATTGAATTTCATGGGGTTCGCTCGTTGTTGTCTGTAATTGGGTTACTGTTACTGATGTTGCAGAGTTACTTTGGATTCTCGGCTTTCAGGCCGTATCAGAAAGAAGTCATTCAGTACATTCTTCAAGGGAAGGATTGCTTGGTGGTCATGGCCACTGGAAGTGGGAAGTCCTTATGGTAGCTGGTTCTTCTACCATTTGGGTTTTTCTTTTTCATTAATTGCTTTTTATGGGGTTTGCATATTCTTATCTTTTTAACTATTGATTGATTTTATCTTTACTTGTCAAAGTTATCAGGTACCGCCTTTGGTTGTTGGGAAGACTGGCATAGTTGTTAGCCCTCTTTTATCTTTAATGCAAGATCAGGTAATTAGTTGTTGTCATTATCATATAGTTCTATTGATCCTCTTCTGCTATTGGGTTTTAGACTTCATATTACTTTGTGCTTTTAAGCGATTTTGGATTATTGACTTTGTAGGTAATGGCATTGAAACAAAGAGGCATAAAGTCTGAGTACCTTGGAAGTACTCAGACTGACCCCACTGTTCAAGGCAAGGCAGAGCGCGGTGAGTATAATGTGTTGTTCATGACACCAGAGAAGGCATGCTCTGTTCCTACCAGGTAGAAATTCTGTCTATTGCCAATTTTATGTCTTCATTTTCTTCTCACTTTCTCTTTACGAGCTTTCATTTCCTTTGTATTTTATTCATCCAATCCCTCGTCCATTTTATCCCCCATTCTTCTCTCTGCCGTCTTGTTTTACCATAAGTTCTATTTGTTATGATCTTCTGTAGAGACAGAAATAATTCTTAAATTATAGTGAATAATTACTGTGGATATCATAATTGTAGAATGAAATTATGGTCCTCGAGGATCCCGAGGAAGAATAATGTTTTTTTTTGTACAACATGTGGAGGTGGGGATAATGTTCATACAATTGAATCCTTGCAAGGATGGCTAGGTATTACTAGCTGTACATGATTTTGGGAACAGATTTTATTACTTGTGTTATATCTAGGAATTGGATGTACAGGAGGGATTGTCCAACACTGGAGCCATACCATGTAATTCTAATGGAATTCATATAAATTTTACTTGATGGTGAAATATGTTTTAAATGGCAAATTATATACATGACATTCTATCGTTCTCGTGTGATTTAACCCTATATTTTTAACTTTGTTTTTGCAGCTTTTGGTCAAAATTGCAGAAGGCAGGAATTTGTTTGTTTGCTGTTGATGAAGCACACTGCATTTCAGAGTGGGGGCATGATTTTAGGTTAATGTTTGATCTTTTTCATTTTCCAGACCATATTCTGAGAAATATGGCCTATTGATTGTAAGATTGGTTTTCTATTATTTTATTGTTTCCAATATATGGTCTACATATTGATGTAGTTTATATCTTACATTGGTTAGTTAGTTAAGTTGTTAGGATGTTAGTTGCTGTAAATTGTAGTTACTGTGCAGTTAATAAGCCCAGCAGCCTCTATAAATAGCTGCTGGTTTTCAGTGTTAGTATGATTAATTCTCCTTCAAGAAACTCTGCTGCAAGTTTTGCATCACATATTATCACATCGGCTTATCTAGGCACCATATCTTCAAATTTTCATTTGTGTAATGGGGTTGTGTTTCATACGGTTTGTTAGAATTCAGTTGATGATAGAAAGTAGTGGATGTGGTTTTCAGAAGTTCACGTATTCCTACATCAACCGGCAATACGTTGATTGTTGCACTATCAAAGAGAGGAAAAAGTTTCTCTTGAATTAACTTTTGAGGCTGAGATAGCTCATAGACACCAACAAGTGGTGTCTTGGAGGGCTGAGTTGATAGTGAAATTCAACTGAAGTCAACGTGTGGCGTGTGAAAACTTTCAGATGTGGTGTTAGGAAACACTAAGAGGAGAGGGGTAATATGGTTTTTTTCTTAAATAATTATTTTATTTGAAGCAAAGATGACCAAAGGACAAGAGGAAAGGGTCGAGGACTGCACCTTAGCCAGTTAGACAAGTGATATTAATTTAGATGTACTATTTTCAACATGGAAAGTCTCTAGGGAGAAAATCCTTTGCTCCTTGCTTGATTAAGTGGGAAGCGTCGGGATGGGAAAACATAATTTTGGGTTTTTTTTTGTTTTGATCACGGAGTTCATTTTTCTTATTTCTCGTGCTTGTCTTTATTTTTCTCTTTGATCTCTTGGGTTCTGGTTCACAGGGTAGAATACAAACAGTTGGACAAACTACGTAATGTTCTATCAGGTCTTCCATTTGTCGCCCTGACTGCAACTGCAACTGAAAAGTAGGTAACTAAATTTCTTCCACAAGGTCGGATTACACGTGTTACTTTTTCTTTTTCAACGCCTTTGTTATTTGGTTTTATTATTATCCCTCAGCATATCTCTCACATCCCGCATCCCCATGGTTTGTTTAAAGTCCTGCTCTATCTGTGATGAACTTTCGAGCTTGAAGATTAATCTTTGAAAATCAATCTTACTATTATTTATTAAGATAGAATTTATTTGCTCTCTTGTACTCTTTCATTCTTTTCCAATGAAAATTTGGTTTCTTATTGAAAAGACAATCTAACATAAAAGCTTTATCTCTTCTTCTTTTGTTGAAAATTTATTTATGCCATGGCGTCAGGCGTTTGCCACATATCTTGTCCTTTTATAATTGATGGCAGAATGGTTGTATTGGCTTTCTATTACAAGGCATACTAATGACATTGCCTACAGCTCCATTCAATAATTTGGTGCAGTTTTTTATGATGTCTGGCATTATATTTTTTTGTTAATTTTCATAAACTATTTCAATAAAATTTTCTTTGTGAGCCGAATCCTTTTTGTTTTATTTCTTATATTGCTCCAGGGTTCGATTTGACATCATTAATTCTTTGAAGATGAAAGGTCCACAAGTTACCATTGGTTCATTTGATCGGACAAATCTTTTTTATGGAGTCAAGTCTTTTAATCGTGGTGCATTATTCTTGAATGAGCTTGTGCTTGATATCTCAAAATATGTGGCCTCTGGTGGTTCAACTATCATTTACTGCACTACAATTAAAGATGTCGAGCAGGTATATTCTTTTGCTTCTTACAAACACCAATACAAGTTCAATGCACTCTAATAATCATAGATAAGAATATGACTATCATATTCCAATTTCAAATTTCTGGTCACACTTCTTTGTAAGATTTTATATGCCTTCATGTTAGGCAATTGCCATGATCTGTGAAAGAATCAGGTTAATACTGAATTTGCTGACCAGCTTTTTGTGAACTTCAATCCACATTTTCACAGATATTCAAGGCGCTTGAAGAAGCAAGGATTAGTGCTGGAATCTATCATGGTCAAATGGACAAGAAATCACGTGCAGAGTCCCACAGGTCACACCCCCAGTTTGTGGTTCTTATGGAGATAAATTATATCGATCCCTCTCTAATCAATAGTGCTGGCAACTATTTTCCCCTTTTCTTTTGTCATATCTGAGCTTTTGTAGCCTCTTGTTCTGTGTGCTTCTCCGAGTGTAATCCTTTGTTATTTTATTTTTTAATCAGACTATTTATAAGGGATGAACTTCAAGTCATGGTTGCCACTATTGCTTTTGGTATGGGCATTGACAAACCGAATATAAGACAAGTGATACATTACGGCTGTCCAAAGAGTCTAGAATCTTATTACCAGGAAAGTGGACGATGTGGTAGAGATGGTATGGCTTCTGTTTGCTGGCTTTATTACACGAGAGGTGATTTTGCTAAAGGAGACTTCTACTGTGGTGAATCACAAACTGTATGAGTTTTGATTTCACCATTATTACATACTATTGTATTGGATGAGAACATGACTTTCCCTACCAGTGTATGTGTATTTAGTTCGAAATTTGAACTGTATGCTTCTTCTGGTTTTGCTTCTTTTTGTTAGGAAAACCAAAGGAGAGCTGTAATGGAGTCATTGATGGCTGCACAGCAGTATTGTTCACTAGCGACTTGCAGAAGAAACTTCTTGCTCAATTATTTTGGGGAAAAATCTCAGTCTGATAAATGTGGTTTGTCTTTTACTTGGTTTTATTTGTTAAGTTTTGTGAACTGCCATGACCTTCTTCTAGTAATCAACTCTCAATTTCACACAGTACTTCTAACCTTGAGCTAGCATTTCTTTCTCTTAATTCCTATCATTCTATTTTGTGAAAAGCACCTTGTCATGCGTGTTTTGTCTTATTTTTATTTTTTGACCAAATGGTTTGGGAGTGTCTCCCTGGAGGATTATACCGGGCGTTTAGCACAAGATTTCTGTTAGCATTTATTGCACCAATTGTCAAGGGCGAGGCTCTAAAGCAATTTATAGAAGTCCTTGGAAATTTTTTTGGGGTAAGAAATCAGATTTTGGGAGGGAAAAACTTGAGTCTGTACTTAATCCTTAAACACTTGATTCCTTCGATTCTATCCACTGCCAGCGACTAAAGCATTTAGACATAAGACAGTCTTTGAGTTTCTCAGAAATTTGGAATCTCAAAACCACCTTCTTGTCCAATGCCCGTTTACATAGAGGCTGGGTAGTTGTTGCTGGATACTTCCAACTGTGCTTGGTATAGTGTACCCCTCTTTCAGTCCAACATTATTTTGAAAAAGATACTTACTTTTCACCCTTTCAAACATAAGAGAAGTGTTGCCGATTTGTGTGGCCACATGCCTTCTCTAGGAAATGAGGATGAAAATGAATCAATAACCATTCCATAGTTATTCCAACGAGGAGGGATAGACTTGGGATAGAGCTCACTTCATTTTTTTGATAAGAAACCACTATTTTTTAGGATAAAGCTGCCTTGATAGATTCTTTTTTTTGTGAATATCAAGCATACGGCTTTTTGGTGGGTTTCTACACACCAAAAGGCTTTTTGTAATTATAGTCTTCTTTTGATTATGCAAGATTGGAAAGCTGTGATTGTATAGTCCTTTGGGGAGGGTTATCTCCACTCTCCGCCTTTTAAGTTGTTTTGCCCCTTTTTTTTTGGGTGTTTTCTCTAATATACCTCTTTTGTCTCTTATCATTAAAAAAAAAAAAAGAAACCACTATTTTATTGAGAAAGGATAGAGCTCACTTCATAACCCATTGATGAAAATGTTGGTCCTCCTGATCGATTAAAAATGTTATCTTAAGCTTTTTCTGTATACTTTGTCCTTCTTTGGTCAGGTTTGTCCAGTCTTAGGGCCTTCTATTGATGTTTTCTCTCTCCAAAGGTGGAGTATTTGATTTTTCTTGATCTTCTTTCTTACTCCACTTTGAGTGTGGTGTTGGAAATAATGATAATGCTTGACTAGATATCTTTATTTGGTCTGTTGAAACTCTATGGTTGAGTTGTTTGATGATGGCACAGGTGACTCTTTTGTTATATATATTTATGAATTTATCGCTTTTGAAATGTTTGTTCAGAAACTTCCCTATAATTTTATTTAGTTTTTGTCTCATTGACATACTCTGGCAGGAAATTGTGATAACTGCATAGTCTCAAAAAAGGAGCGTGACATGTCAAAAGAAGCATTTCTTCTACTGGCCTGCATCCAATCATGCAGGAATAAGTGGGGACTGAACATGCCTGTGGATATTCTTCGTGGGTCTCGTGTAAGTTCTTAGCTTTTGAGACTTTTGAAACATAGATATTATTGGTGAGGTAAGTTTGTTGTTGATTCAAACTTCTAAGCGCTACAATGCTGTTGCTCTTGGCTTTCTCTCTTTTTTTCCCTCCTTCCTTTGGGTGGAAACAAAACACTCTTTCAACCAGAAAATATAAGTTTAGAAAATGTACCTCTGGAGCTCAAAAAACAGGTCTCTAAATATTTACGAAATATAGTAGAAAGTGTATCGTGAATTGAAGCCTTAAGCTTAAATATGTATATATATATATCTTATGTTTCCTCATGATCATTTATCGTAAAAACTCTTTGGTTTATTTTAATCACGTCTCTCATAACAAGGCATGGGCTGCATTTTGTCAGGAAAATCTTTCTTCCCTTGAAAAACTTGCCATATTGCTATTTACTGATGCCGGGGCAACATCTGCTTAAGTGAAACAATTGGAATAGCCTGCTTTCTTGTAGCATGAGTGTCATAAGTTTATCAATTTTGTATGGTGTAAGTGCATTAAATTTGTCATAATAGTTAACCGTAAAACTAGCTTCTCAGCTGGCCACTGAAATAAATGACTGGTAAAACATAGGAGCTAAACATAATTCAGCGTTTTGGTGCAAAAGGAATTTTATGATAGTGCCCTGTCACTTGTTGCATTTTATGTTTATATTCATCTATGAACTGCAGAAGTATTATTTATTTATCAAAAGCATGATTAAGGTATAAATTTGTGCATCAAGTTACTTTTCCAATCCACTCAATCCCTTGGTTGTCACACCCTGTAATTTAGTAGAGCGACTCTCCATGGTATTGCATCGTGAAATTTTCTAAAACGATATTCTGCTTAAGGAATGATCACATTTATACAACTTGGAGTTTTATGAAGTTCAAAATGATTAGTGTTCTTTTCCTTGGGACTTTATAGATCTCATTACATAACAAACATACTTTTTTATTATTTTTTTACTTTTACTTCTCGTTTATGGTTAATCTAACATTCTGTTGTGCTCTTACAGGCTAAAAAGGTACTTGATGCTCAGTTTGACAAGCTCCCACTTCATGGACTTGGAAGAGAATACTCAGCAAATTGGTGGAAAGCACTAGCTAGTCAACTAATTTCTCATGGTATGTGAAGGAACCACATTTTTGCATGGTAATTGATATATTGGAAAAAAGAATTTAATACTAGTGAATGAATTAGAATTTTTTCTTCATGTTTTTAATCTTAATAAAAATAATTTGAAAGATATTGTCTTAATTCTTAGCTTTGTTTGACAAATGTCTCAAGTTAAAAAGTTTGGAGGCAAATGCCTTGGTGGTACTCAGGAAGTGTCTTAAATGTAACATTCCCAACTCATCCTTTAAAATACTTTCAGAAGCGGAGATATTGGGGGTTTTGGCAAGCAAGAGACTGAATCGTTTGGGGAAAAGGATTTGTAGTGCTCAGGTGAGGCAATGTTGAGAGGCTTGGAAGGTAAACAAATAAGAGACTTGGAGGTTGGGGCAAAAATATTTTTAGGGTATACGTGAAGAGACGTGGACAACTGGTAGACTCCGGAAAATACAAACGATTTTTTTTTTTTTTTTTTTGTGATTTGAATAGTCACATTTCATATCTGTTTATAAAGTTCTACCTCTTAACCACCATGAGTTGATCTAATGGTCATTAGGTGCCAATAGAAAAGGTAAAGAGTTAGGGGAAATGAGTTCAAACCACAGTAAGAATTTAATATCCTAGAATTCCTTGGTAACCCGATGTAGTACAGTAAGTAAGCCAGTTATCCCGTGAGATTAGTTAATGTGCACTTAAACTGGTCTGGACACTCACAAATATCAAAAGAGATAAAATAAAAGTTTTACCTCTTCAATCAATTGTCTAAATAAGTATGATCCTGGTTGAAAGAAGCCTCTGGACTTATCACAAGATCTTTGCCAAAATCTTAGATGTGTACATGAAATAGTATAGAAGAGGTTCTTTGGCATGGCAGCCTATGACACAACTTTTTAATAAATTTATAATTAGTGTGTGCGCTAAAAGAAGGATATAATTTCTCATAACTACACCTTACTATGTCTTATGTATATGACCGTTAGATATAATTTTGGTTTGGCTTTCGACATATATATTTAAACAACTTGTAGATGGCAAATGGAAAACTGACCAAAGTTGTAGGGTGGGAAAAAGTGAGTCATCCACAGGGAAATCAAAACTGACTGAAATCAAATAAGCGGATAAAAAGAGATATATTCAGGTCTGATATTCATAAAACCAACTCTGGCTATTTGTTCAGTCGAACCAACGAGACTGACTTAGTAGGTTTCAACTTGTATCTCCAGTGGCCATTGATCCCATATTTGTATAATTATAATTCAAATATATCCGTATTGCCTTCTTGACTGGAATTGCTTGTCTTGCTTCTTTTTTTCTTTTTTCCCCCTTTTATAATAAGAACTAGTTTATCATTTTTAATTGTAATGTGTAACACGTTTTGTAAAAAATTGTACTTTGGTGCAGGCTATTTGACAGAGAACATACGTGATGTTTACAGAACCATTAGGTCATCTACTTTCACTCGATCTCTTACTTTTGCAACTTACATAACTTTAGAATCTTTCAGTCGTCCATCTGCTTTTATCATTAATCCCATGGTAGCTTGTAACTTGTCAAATATCAACGGGAAGTTCTTATTTCTTGTCTAAAAAGAATCCCATTTTCTCCCAATTATCTGAATTTGATACTGAAAATGAGAATGATCATTCCTTCTTGACAATAGTATCAGTGCAAAAGGAGAACAATTTCTCCATTCTGCCAGACATGACTCCCAACCACCTCTAGTTTTGCCAGTGACGAGCGAAATGATTGGTGAGAATGGAGATGACAGCACATTAAGTGAAGCCGGGAAAGTGGAAAATTTGGCTACTTTGAAGAGTGGACTTTCAGAGGTTTGTATGTTAAATGCTAATTCTTGAACATTCATGCGTCTCTCCTTGTTTTTTCTTTGTCAGTCAAATCATATTCTGATCGGTAAATCATATTCTGATCGGTCCATTTGTATTATTTTTACCCAGGCTGAGGCTAAACTCTATCAAATGCTTTTAGAAGAGAGGATGAAGCTTGCGAGAAGAGCTGGAACTGCTCCGTAGGTTTTGTAAATACTTTTAAGTTGTTCACTATGAAAACTGGCACATTTCATCATCTTTTACGTGTTATTTATGTCGGTGGTTTATATGAAAATTTTTTCTTATATTTTATCCTTTGATACTTTTTTTCTGCAGATATGCCATATGTGGCGACCAAACAGTTAAACGAATTGCATTAACTAGACCATCTACCAAGGCAAGGTTAGCAAATATTGATGGTGTGAACCAGGTATATCCTTAGTGAGGAAATGACTATATCTTCTTTAACTCACATGGATTTGAAGTTGTCAACACTATAGTTATGTGTGCTTATTTGGCATGTGTTACTCGGAAGTCTGCACCTCGTAAATGTGTAGATCTCTACAAAATTCTTTGAATTTCAATGCATTTTTTTTATCAAAATATTGTGTAATCCACTTTAATTCATCTAGATTTGGAGTTTGGCTGCATTTTCTTGCACGTTAGTCAGAATTAGTCACATTCAAGTTTTAGCTATTAGATTTTACCTAGCAAAAGTTGTGAGATTGTTGTTTGTTCTGTCAATGACATGGTTATTAGATAATTCAGTATGGGGAGAGTTAGCAGATCAATGTTAATGTTCCACAATAAAAAATTTTAGGTGCTTTTCTCTTTCAAAATGCTTTGAAACGGCACCAACTCACCAGAGCACGAGGCGGTGTCACTAGGTGATCATGTCAGATTTTTGTATTATCTTATTTTTATTTAAATTTTTTTTTTTGTAAGCTCAACCATAATAAAAAATGATGTTGAATTTTGAGCAATAAATTTTATGATCAAAATATTGAAATCATATATTAGATGATTGGAATAATTCTTGTTTGTATGCTAGGGGGGTGAACATTGATTATTGTCAAGCACTAGAAATAGATGATCTCTACTAGCATTTGATGGTCTCTTGGGATGTGCAATAAACACGCATAAAAGGCCGTATCACATCGAGATGTCGATTTATTTTTTGCCTCTAGTGAGATGGGGAATTAGTAACCCCCTCCTTGTCAAGTACCACTGATACAAATAATGCATCTTAAGTGATTAGGCTGGGATGAAATTCGGACCAACAGTCTTCAGCTCATGGGCTATGTTTCCCCAGTTAATATTTGTCAATGATGGTCCAACTTTGAATTTTTTAGGTTTATTTGGATTTTAATGAGCTTGTAGGTATTATAGTTTTGATCATTCATACCAAAATAATGAATAAATTTTTTAAAACTAAGTGATAATTTCATTGTTTTCTTATTGATAATTGGGGTACTACGAGTTCTCCTTGAATTATGCCATGGTTTACCCCTTCTAATCTCTAGGAAGGTTTTTCCCTCCTCAAGACTAGTTCAGAAGATGATAATTGTTCACGTTAGTGTTAGAAATATTAGAGATATTATTAGGATATTAGAGGGACTCATTTGTCACTAATTGGAGTTATTAGTGAAATGTGTTGAAAATAGAGCGAGTTGGAGAGTTTGGAGGTAGGCAGAATTTGGAAGATTAATTTTGGGAGAATCCAGGCCTCTCGAAGTGCTTGTAGTATTGCAATTTTTATTTTATAAAGTAATATACTTTCAGAGTTGTTTTCTGTCAATTTCCATTGGAAAATCGGGTTCCTATCAGTTATTTAGTTTCAACCTGGAGCTTGTACCCAAGACCGGTAAATGTACTAAGTGTTTATTGAACTTCAATCACTACAGCACCTACTAAAGATGCATGGAGATCAAATTCTTCAAGCAGTGAATCATCTATCACAACAAGTTGGTCTTTCACTGGATGGAGAATGTAATGAAGAAGGAAATGGACAAGGTACTACAACAAGGAAACTCTATACAAACTCCAACCAACCGCGACAGTTGGCCCCGGCAAAGTTTGAAGCATGGAAAATGTGGCATGAAGATGGTCTATCTATCCAGAAAATTTCTGTAAGTAATCTCTTCTTCCCTATAAACCTGACTTACAACTTTGAATCAATCAAGAGCGTTGGAAATGCAGAATAGAACTTGGAATTTTAAGAATTTTTAGTTACTTTAGACCTGAATAAGTAGTTCAAGGACTATGATGTTTGCTGTATAAGTTACAACTGGTGCTAAAAAGCTAACTCGATGAAAGAAAGAGACTATTTAGAAAGTGAGCCTGAGTTAGACTTTTGAGCATTGTGTTTTTAAGTGAACCACTTTTCTATAAACATGTTTCAAAAACTTTAAAAGCAGTTTTTTGGTGAAACTAATGGAGGTGGATGCAAGTTTGCTCAGACACTCACATATATAAGAAAAGTAACTTTAACATGTATAAAGAATTTTCAAGATTATGTAACGAACACCATGAAAATTTGAGCACTTTTTACAATCTTGAAGTGATATATGTCAAGCTTATTGTTTTACTTCTATGTTTTTGTGACTATTCCTCTTTTCCCAGTTATTTACATTACTCTGATGACATCACTATTTGTTTGGAGAATAGAACTTCCCTGGTAGATCAGCCCCTATCAAAGAGACTACTGTTTCTGCGTATATTCTTGATGCAGTCCAGGAAGGATATGCAATTGACTGGAATAAATTCTGTGGTGAGATTGGACTTACAAGTCGGATATTTTCTGATATTCAAGCTGCTGTTTCGAAAGTCGGATCGGCAGAGAAGTTGAAGCCTATAAAAGATGAATTACCAGAGGAAGTGAGTTGGATATGTAAATTTCACCTTCTTCTATTGCTTTGTCTTATTTTTAAATATGACAGCAGCCATCCATGCCTTCAGATTCCTTGTTCCTTTTGTGCTTCTGCTAGTCAAATTTTCGACGAACGTCGGTGTATGACTGGAAATTGATATTTGGATGGCAGATAAATTACGCACACATCAAGGCTTGTCTTACAATGCAAAGCTGTGGAATATCCCCTGAGGGCACCCTAACCAGCAGCCACCAGGAAAGTAAAACCGACGAACCACTGAATGGTATGTCGAAGTTTTCAGGGAGTCCAACTTCAAAGCAGCAGAAAGAAGAACCTTGTGATATCGAAATGCCATCAAATAAAGGAACAACATTTATTCCTTCAACCGAGGAACTTCCCATAACATTAAAACGTCAGAAAGTCTGTGAAGTGCAGGAAGAAAGTCACATTCTAGCAAAAGCAACCGAGAGCTCGCTAGTAGAGTGGCTAAAGAACAACAACGATGGGGTATGTTAAATAGACTCAGAATTAAGTGTTTTTTCTTGTACAAATATGTCTGCGCACTTCATAGTAACTTGGTTTAAGTGAAGAAGACTGCAATGTGGTGATGATATTGCAGGTTACAGTTTTGAATATGATGGAGCACTTCAAAGGAACTGAAGAAGAATCTCTAGTTGCTCTACTAAATGCTCTTGAAGGTGATTTTGTGATATATAAGATAAACAATGTCTACAAGCTCATGTAAGTACTAAACCTTTACTCTAAATCCTCTAATCTTGTGAATGGGGGACTAAACTAAATGCAAGTTTTTTTTTTCTTTTTTTTGGTCATATGGGCTTGACAAAGATATAGCTCCTCTTTATCTATATTCAGTAGTCAACAATGGAGAAGAATTTGGGCAGTTGAAAAAAACAAGGCTAAGGCTCATGTTTGTGTCATTTTTTAACTTCATAGGAAAAAATTGGTGTGACATATTGATTTAAGTAAGAAGTGACGATTTGACAATATGTGACAAAGTAGGGATGAAATAAAGGGACGCCAACAAAAACTAGGTGAGCAAGTGGAAAATATTATAAATCGAATTCTTAGAGTTAAGAAACTCTATTGTGTCGTACCAAATCATTCTTCATTAGTCCAATCATCATGTCACACCAATATTTAAATAACAATATTAATGCTAGGGACCAATGTATTAGATTAAAATCGTTTTTGGTAGGATGGAGTTCTTAGCGGATAGTTTTCGTATCCCTGTTTTTTTTTTTTGTCTTTTTGTATTCTTTCATTTATTCAATTAAGTCTTGGTTTCTTGTTTTATTATTATTTGAAATGTTAGGTATTTATTGAATCAAAATTGTAAGTTTAGAAATGTGGTTGAAGGTTTTTTTTAATGTGTAAGGATTAAATAAAGACAATTATTGAAGGTAAGAGCCTAAATTTATAATTTCACATTTTTCAAGAGTGTTAGTTGTTACTTCTTCGTTTTGTATTAAGTGCCATTTTAAATTGAAAAAGTTATCTGTTTCAAAAAAAAAAAGATTGAAGTTAAAGTGAGCATAGTTTAGCGATAATTGACATAACCTCCAACATGAAGTTGTGAGTTCGAATCCTCACAAATTTTTGGATTGGATTGGGTTGGGTCACTGGGTTCTTCTTAATTTCAAATTCCAGATCCAAATAAATAAATCAAAGGCAAAGTTCCATATCAAAATAAATCTTTCTTTTTCTAGGAATAAATCAAAACAAATCAAGAGCATTACAAGTTCCAAATCCAAACAAATCAAGAGTAAAATTTCAAATCAAAACAAATTAAACATTACAAGTGTTTCAGAAGAAAGAAGGGAGAAAAAACTACACAGACATTTATAAAAAAAATCCCAACTTTAACATTCAACAACAGTTACAAAAGTTTATGAGACAAAGAGACGGTGGCAATCAACGATACGACTGTCGACATACGGCAATGACGGGCGATGATCTCCGGCGTAGGATGACGAAAGACGACCTACAACAACGGAAGATGACCAGTAGAGACAAATGACGGCAATGGGCGGCTGCAGCAACAAATAGCAACGACGAGCGATGAGAGAGGTGGGATATGTGGGAGGAGGAGGGGAGACAAACAGTAACGAAATTAAAAAGGTATAATTTCGGTTCGAACTGAATTTTTGTTGATCGAACTCAGAATCGAACCGAATTATTTGGTTCACCTAAAATTTAACCCAACCCAACCCAATTCCTTATCTAACCCAACCCAACCCTTACGGTTCGGGTTGGGTTGCCCAGATTCTTCGGGTTGTCGGTTCTTTTGAACACCCTTATGTCTACCTCATTAAATTAAAGCATAAAGTATTTTCTATTCAAGTATGTTAGACTAATACTTTATTTTGTCAATATTTTTCAATAATAAAAGTTTGATTAGGGTAAAATGCGTCCAAACAACCTATCTTACTAATAACAATAAAGAACTAAGCCACCCAGAAAGAACTAAGTCACTCGGAAAGAAGAAAGTTGAAAAAAAACGTAGAGATTTCTGAATAACTCAACCTGGTTATCACTTGTCTTCTTGTTGATGGGGAATCCGCTCTCGAAAAATGTTATACATAAGAGATGAAATTGAAAAGATACGAATGATGTTTTGGCAGGAAGTTTGACAACTATCAAAATGCATGGAATGTAGGTTTGGCATTTTTTTCCTCTTGTTTTTTTTGTTGCAGATTTTGATCTTATCTTAAAATCCTTTGCCTTCATTTTCCATAGGTAGTAATCTGTATTTTTCTCATAATTCCAAAGAAAGGACAACAATTTTCTGAGAACCATTATAAAGAAATGCAACAAAAGAAGTTTTGTCTCCACTATATCTCATAGCATATCATCCATTTACAGTGAGGAGATGGTAACTATTTTATCTCTCCTTTTTTTTTTTAGTTGAAAACAAAATGATGTAGATTCATCTTTATAAAAATTATAAATTTATTTCTATTTTGTTTCTGTTTTATTATTTATTTATTTATTTATTATTATTTTTTTAATTCTCAATTCAACCCTTAAATCATTTAAAATTGTCCATTTTACTTGAGTATTAAAATTTTTTCAGTTAACTCCTCTAAAAAAAAACCTTTGAAGATTTGTAAATATAAAATTGACGGGTCATTAAATTGTTGTTTTATTAATATATATTTGGATAAGTACACAAATCACTTGAAAAAGTTGGATTTTATTGATAAGCGGGTTGGATTTTGTTCATAAGTAAATTATAATTGTCTAATTATAATTCAAATAATATTATCTAACATATCTTGTTAAAATAATAATTTAATCAAGCATTAACTATATCGGAGAACAAATTAAAAGTATATAGAAATATATGATTGAGTATTATAATTCTGTGCGAATATTTGAGCCTACTTTTTGTAAGAAGTTATCAATAATTTTACCAGTTAAATTGCACTTACATGAGTGTATGCTTTTTAAAAGAATTGAGAAAAATGAATTTAATGGAACTCCAACGCATGTAATATTTAGATTCAATTTAAATAAGTTAATCCTAACGTGTTGAACCGAAAAAAATTAATTAAAATAATCTATCAAGTTCAAGAGACAATGGTTTAAATTAAAAATACAAAAAATGCAATTAATTCAACTCCTACAATTTGGGATGGTTTGTACCATCTTTAAGAAGAAAAAAAAAGATGATGAACAAAAAGTTTGATGGGAAGAATTGGAACAAAATTGAGGATTAAATATTTTTTTAATTTTTTTTTCTCCCTCAATAGACAAATAAAGAGGAGAGAGAAAATAAAAAGAAATGGAAAAACACGTCTGGGAGACAAATTATTGATGTCTGAAATTAACCATTTTTCCGACAGAGTTGTCTTTTCACATATTTTTTAATTTAAACCAATTTGATTCATTAACAATCATTTAAATCCGATTTTTTTTAAACAAAAGCTACTCACTTTCTTCGTAACATCAATAAAATAAAATTTTAAATTTTCCTTATTAAATATTGTTATATCAGCATAAAAATGAAACTCACTCTTAAATTTCGCGAGATGTATACATTTTCACCCAACAAGTATTGCATTTTTTAATCTATATTCAATTTCCATTCATTCATCCATTAATTTTAACAAAAATTAACATGAGAATCTAAAAAAAAAAATCAAGTTTTACATAAATGCACAAAATTAACACCACTCAATGTAACTCGATCAAAATTCACAAATTTCAACCAAAAATTAGCTCCGTTTTTTCTCTTTTCCCTAAAATTTTATTTATTTTGTACCAAATATGTGAACCCATATACAATTTTTTTCTTTCTTTTTTTTTAACAAATCTACCAACTGAAAAACTTATTAGAATGCAATAATTATTTGAGTTTAAGGTAAATATTGTAACTTTTATGCAATTTTAAGGTGTACTTTTTTTAATGAAATTTAATGTTTATAGTAAAAATTATAGCATTGCCAAGTTTATATATTTTCTCTCTAAACAATACTACATAAATTTTCTATTAATGTAGCTAATGGAAGATTAGAGACAAGGACCATTTAAAAATATTTCAAAAACTTCGAAAATTAAATTATAAAATTTTTCAACTTAATTGTGAAACTTGAAGAGCTATAAAACGGTATTTATCATTTTGGTAAGTTCTATAGTTTGGTTCTTTATTTATTTATTGGGGTAACACTTCGGTGTTTTAACTAGTTTTTTTTTTATAATTATTATTATTGGTTGAATTAGGCTTAGGTTGGTAAATTGACAAATTTTAATAGATTTCCAAAATAAATAATAGTAAAAAAAATAAAATAATAATATATAGAAATAATAGACATTTTGGGTTTATTTTAAATGATAAAAAATATTATTAATTAATATCTATTCAATGGATTAGAAAAATATTTTAATATAAAATCAAATCAAGTGACAATTTATTACACTGGTTTTATTTTATTTATTTTTATCAAAATTACACTGGTTTTAATTGATGGCATTTCTTCTACAATAAATTTTCATTTTTTAATTGACATGCTAGATTCAACTTTGTCAATCTTATAGTCAGTACATTATTTATTGCTTTAAATGCATTTCTTTGATATTTTGGAAAGATTATAGAATAAAGAAAAACATAACAAGTAAGCATTTCGTAACGAGTTAAAGATTTATTAATATTTTATCTCTATATTAATTTTATATATTTCTTTTCAGAAAAATATTAATATTATATTTATATCAGTAATATTAATATATATATAGTGATGCTATAGAAATGTGATATTCTATAATGTTTCTATGCCAACTGAAATTTGTGATGCTACAGAAATGTGATATTCTATTATATGTCAATGAAAATTTAGAATTCGTTTGGTACCGTTTCCATTTTTTAGTATTGCGTGGTCCTGAATACTTAAGGATTCAAGAATGATAGAACAAAATTTCATTGAAAAAGGAAACAAAAAAATTATTTTGGCTGTTTTCAAAACTTTTATATAATTTTAATAATATATTTCTAAAAAATATGAAACAATAATAGTTGTTAAATATTTTGATTTCTTGCTCAAATTAGAAACCGGCGGTTAATTTGCTGATTCTAATGAAAATGCTATCTCAAACCAATGAAAAAGTCAATAATTGAAACTTATTTAAAATTTACTATTTTTTATGCAATTAAAATTTAGAATATTAACTCTAAGAAATATCTTTTCCCATTACATCAACATAAAACCACTATCTTTATAAAACATCATTAAAATAATATAATCCTCAAAGATATTCTCGTTTACTTGCCCCAATATTCCAACTTCAAGAATCAATCAACCCCACAAAAAAGAGAAAAAAAAAGGACGAAAATGGTCAATAAGTTCTTCCAATTCCTCTACCATGAAGCTGTTTATAGCCTGTTTCTTGATTCGTATGCATCAACAATGGCGTTTACTTCTTCATTTCCCCCCATAAAAAGAAAAACAAAAAGAAAAATAAAAAAGAAGCAATCTTTGGTTGCCGTTTGGGGACATTCCTCCATTTTTATGTTCACATCCATGCAAAAATCCGCCATTGTTAGGGCCAGAAGAGTCAAATCCCACCACTTGTTTTGTTTCCCAAATCCCAAAACCGGGTTCTGCTTACCGCCAGTTTCCTCTCAATCTTAGGGGCGGCCACCCAACCCCACGAAGCAGATTTCTTCTCCCTTTCTTCCGTTTTCCCTTTTTTGTTTTTGTTAATTTAATTTCCTTTTTCTTCCCCTTTTCAATTTCTCTCCCCCCAGAATGAATAGTAATTCTAGCGAAGCAATTCCTGCTGTTCCAAATGGCCCCTGGTTTTCCCCTCTTTCGCCTCTGTTCCTGTTTCTATATAATATCTTCTCCCACTTCCTCCTTCTGTTCCCACACTCTCCTGTTCTTCGTCCTCTTCTTTTTCTACGGTTTTCTCTCTACGTGTCCGACTCTGGATCCTTGTTTCGGACGCACCCCACTTTCGATTCCCGTCAATTTCCGCTCCTTCTGCCTTATAAACGACGACCCAGATCACATTTCTGCATCGTTCGGCGTTTTTTCGCATCTGGGTTTCTGATTTCAGATTGATTCGTTCCATTTTGAAGCCATTTTTTGCTGCGATTCTTGTCATCGGCGAGGTTTTTGAGGGGGGAAGGAGGAGTAAGGTTCTTTCATTTTTGTTTTGTTTTTTTCTTTATAATTTGATTTGAGTTCCGATGACGACGGAAACGGGAACAATGGGCCAAGGGAGTAACAGAATTGGGCATGTGAATAACGTTCAGTATGTGAAGAGGTGTATTAAGAAGAGGAAATGCAGAAGAATTAAGCGGTCTGTTCCAGTGGTTCCCATGGCGCTTCAGGAACTGTTTCTTTCTTGCCGGGAAGTCTTCAAAGGCCCTGGAACGATTCCACTGCCTTCAGAGGTTGACAAAATCAGCCGCATTCTCGGTATTCTTCTAAATTGAATCTGTTTTCTCTAAATTTTCTGTTTCATTCATGTTTTTAGATTCAGGTTTGTGAAGAAGGGAGGGAACTGTTTGTTTTTTGTCCAGATTTGAAAATCTCAGCTGCTTTTTTTGAATTACATTTTTGGCTAAGTGACATGATTTCGAAAGTTCTGGTGTTCTTGTAAGCATTACTGTTTCTGGGTACATGCATATGATAATAAAGTAGCAGTAGAATTTTTAATCATTATTTATCTCAAGCAATTCTTTGATCTTCCCTTTTGATGATTTGTCATACCACATCAAGTTTGTAGGCTATCCCATCCTATGCTCTTGAATTGTTTAGAGGATTCTTTATTCTTAGACTTAGACCCACAGAGAGAGAGAGAGAGAGAGAGAGAGAGAGAAAAGGAAGGATTTCTTCTGTTGTGGAATAGTGGAAGACAAGCCCTTCCCTTATATTATTTTATGACAATTTTATAAGTTAGGAACTTATTGAAACCACCTTTCTGATGCATTCTGCTTTTGTAATATGCTATCTAGATTCACAATTCAATGCAGCAACACATGATTTGGTGACATTGAAACATTTGATCTGATTTTTTGTTTCTCTTTTTGCCATGTGGGACTTAGTTGAGGCACACAGTATAGCTAGCAGATTTGAAGTATTAAAAAAGTGGGAAGGATTTGGGTTTTGGGTTTGAATTCATGGTGTTTGGAATGAGTATCCAGAAAAACTTGCAGATTTGTAGGAATAGATTCGTCCGCCTAAATACTATATAAAGTCTTAGTTTGGTTACATCGTACACTCAACCGACAACTCTTTCTCTCTAAAAATATTTGTTTATGTTCTGCTTTGTTTTGATAATTATAATTTCTTTTGCTGAAAAGATAAAATAACACAATAGAATATGAGGGATTCTGCATCTAAGCACGTGGTTTTGCCTTTGCTTTGCTTGGGGGAAACTTTTGGGTCCAAGGACATTGGATGCAAAAATCCTTTCTGCACTGAATTGCTTAGCTTATAAAATTTTTCTTGGTTTAAATACTAGTTTGGTACTTGTATTTTCGGCTCTAGTTCATTTTGGTCATTGTATTTTCAAAACGTACATTTTGATTTTTGTAATCTCAACTTTTGTTCACTTTAGTACTTTGATTTCTGTAATCTCAACTTTTGTTCACTTTAGTACTTGTAATTTGAAACATCCATTTTGGCCTATCTACTTTTAAAAAGTGACAATTTTGGTCCTTTATTTTCATTTTTATTTCATTTATTTCTATTATAATTTTTACATAACACTACCGACTACACTCACTAAATTTCTTGAAATGTAGTCAAGATTAAAGGGTTTTCATTGGATATAAAATTTGTGTTAAAATTTTGTAAATTAGGACCAAATTAGTTGCTTTTTAAAATTACAAAGACTAAATAAACAAAAGTAAATAATACAGCGACCAAAATAGTATTTTAATTTTTTTTTCTTTTTTGAAGTTTGCTTATACATGGTTGAATATTCACCAAATTTCTTTTATGTTAATACTGCAGATAATATGAAGGCAGAAGATGTTGGACTTTGTAGTAGTTTGCAGTTTTTCAAGCCCAATGTTCCAGTTAAAGGTTCCCCTAGAGTTACATACACAACCATATACAAGTGTGCCAATTTCTCGGTAAGCCTAATTTTACATTCTAGATTTTTATATTATAATTTGAAAATTTGAAAATTTATAGAACTTTAAATTCTCAACTATTATTAATACGGCTTTCCTTCTCCGCTCTACCACTGGTTGGTCTAGTGGTGAAGCAAGCAAACTCTAAATCTCGAGATTAGTTGAACTGTATATATAACAACATTTTGTTGCTCGGTTCGCAATATCTGATGATATTGTTTCCCTCTTTATACAGTTATGCATCTTCTTCCTCCCAGCAACTGGTGTAATCCCTCTCCATAACCATCCGGGAATGACTGTTTTCAGCAAGCTTCTCCTAGGAAAAATGCACATAAAATCCTATGATTGGGCTGATCAAACGACCAACACAGATGATTCTGCCCCACCTTGTAAAAGTGAGGGGCACCTTCAAAATTTCTCATTAAAATATGAACCCATTGGGAAATTTTATGGCTGTTGTTGACCCTTATGTAATGAAATTTTGCAGAGAGATTGGCAAAGCTGAAAGCTGATGATGTCTTCACATCACCCTGCAGTACCTCTGTTTTGTACCCTACAACAGGAGGCAACATCCACTCTTTCACTGCGATAACGCCATGTGCGGTTCTTGATGTGCTTGGACCTCCTTATTCTATGGAGGACGGTCGAGATTGTTCGTATTATAAGGAGCATCCCTATGCCTCTTTTCCAAGTAAGTTCCACTCATGTTCTTTTTTTAATCTCGGAAGTTGACTTTAGGAAGCTTGTAAGGGGTGCAAAATGGGGCTGTTTTTTGTTTGGTTGTGTTCTGAAAATCTGTTTTTGTTGAGTTGCTTTTTTCTTGTTTTTATTTTTTAGCTTATTATTATTATTATTATTTCTTCATAAAAATATTTTAATTATTATTTGGGTTAAAAAAAACTTTTTGTCACTGTAATTTCCTTGGAGTAACAATATAGTCTGAAATGATTTAGTCTTCGTACTTTCAAATTGGTAACAATTTAGTCCGTAACAATTTAGTCCCCATAGATTAAAATATTTACAATTTAATCCCTACGGTGGAAAAATCCCATCAAAATTATGTGTTGTTTTTTTTATTATATATAATGATTTAATCTTTTAATTTATAAACACATTTAGTCTCTTGATCTACATATATAAGATATCCTATTAAATCTAAAGAACAATTTTCATGATAGGGATTAAATCTTTACAAACTTTAAATTACATAGATTAAATTGTTATATATTAAAGTTTAGAGACTAAATTGTTGTTACAAACTTGGAGTAAATTGTTACTTCAATGAACATCAAAAGTGTTTTTAAACTTATTATTTGCAGATTACTCGTCATTTGGAATCACGGGAGTTGTTACTTCAAAATTCTGTGATTTCAAGAAGGGAAAAGAACTGTTCTTGAAAGTGACTTTCTGCCATTTTTCTTCTTCCTTTAATTGTTTTAAAAGAATTCTGAAAAACAACAGTCAGATAGTGAAATTTTGACAAGGACATGAAAGAGTACTTTGGTGGTTTACAGTAATTTTTTTTTTATTATTAATTTTTTGAAATAAAAAAACTAAAACTGTTTCTGAAAACTACCCTTTTTTCATATGGGCTTCAAAGTCATTTATCTTGTTTTTTTTTTAATTTATAAAGATCTTAACAGAATGTTCTCTGAAAAAAGAACACTCTGAAAGTGAAAATTTGACACTGACATGAAAAATAGTACTCCGGCGTTGTTTTCTTGGATTTATTTTAATGGGGGACAATAACATGTTCATGAGCAATAAATAATAACATTAAAACCCTTTAAAACATTATAGTTTGGTGTAACCCATTGTCAGAAAACTGCTAAATCTCTTTCATTGAACACAACAAACTACATGTCCGAGATAGCTTGTCAAGATGATTGTTCGAATACTTGCAAAACCATTGTTTCGATAGCCATGAAGGCTTGTCGATAGACCAATTTGTTGTACAATATGTGTTGTCTTGAAATGGATACAATTTTCCCCCAAAACTTCCCATGGTATTGCCTTGTTCTTATGTTAAGTATTTGCTATATGCAGATGGTGAGATGGCACTAACAAAAGAAGAAGAGGGTGAGAGTTATGGATGGCTAGAAGAAATTGAGATGCCAGAAAACTCTCACATGGATGGAATTGAATACTTAGGCCCTCAGATTATTGAAATTTAAGCCTAATTTGCCCCCATATTCATTCTCCTTTCTGCTCTTCTCTCACAATGACTTCCTCTTGCTTCTTCATTACATTTTTTCCCCTCTTCTTTTGGGTTTAGAAAACTATCTTCTTTTTGACTGTAGAGTGTTTCCAAAAGTCGTGTTCTTTGGTTTTTGTACATAAAAAATGGTACAAAGTTTGTAACTTTCTTTCAAGTCTTCTTTCTTCTTGCTTCCCCCTCCCATGGAAGTTTGTTGAATTTGCTGATCAAGAGTGCAGGAGATGATGATGATGATGATGGAGATCTCTCTTCCTATTTTTTGATGTAGTTGTGGAGTAAAATTTTCAATCAAGTGTTGATATTTCCAATTTATATCTTTATGGATTCAAGTGTTCGGTATCGATGCTTGAAGATAAAAGTCGATTCATAAGAATGTTGAAAAATACTAAAAATTCTGACCAAAATGAATATGAAGTAATGATAGAGCTTTAGAACTATAAATAGTTCATTTATCAATCTAATAGTTGTGCATTGCAATCATACAAGATTTTATCGTTGTGCAAATTTTTGTTGCAAATATTTATAAGGGTAATAGGTGTCTTATCTAGTTTTCGAAATTCAGATCGAAATTCAGATAGCTGTCAATCGGGGTACGAATACTTAATATTAAAAGAAATAAGAGATGTTTTGTAAATTGAATTATATTCGGATGGACTCTGGTGAGGAAAATGCAACTCTCCATCTGATTTTTTCACGTAGATTTATAATATACCTCTCCCAACGTTCCCTTTTTATCATGCTCTATACCACTTCTAAGTTTTCATATTTCACTGCAATTTTTTCCCTCTAATTTAACTTTGTGTGCATCCATGCCTCCTCCATTAAATAAAATGTCGTCTCATGATAGAAATAAAATTGTAGCTCATGTCACATTTTCACAATCGTATGATATTTTCCACTTTGCATAAGTTATCAATTATCATGACTTTATTTTTGGTTTAAGCTAAAAATCTCAAATTAATGGACGTGTTGATACTCATTTATACACTCATGATCTTTTCCTACTCTAACCAACGTGATACTTTAAAAAAAAAAATTTGAGTTCGTTGATTATAAGTTTCATAAAAATATTTGCATTTAATTGATTTTTTTTTTTTAGAGAATGGTGTATATTATTAGTTTGTAAATTCAACAAAAACCACGACTTCTTGGTTGGTGATATATGTCAATTACCGCTTACGTTCGTTTTCAATTTAACCACTTCATTAATTTCTCTTTCAACTCTATTTTCTATGTTCTTCTAAGCCAAGTGACTATACACATCCATTTTTCCACTTTTCGCCACTTTTTTTTTTTTAATTATAATATTTGACAAACATTAATTGTGACGTCATACAGCCCCAATTTTATTGACAATGTTTGAATGGAAACCTAATAGAGATATAGATTTCATCACTTAAAATGAATAATTTTAATAGATGAAATTATATATTTAAGTAGTAATAGTTGATTTTCCCTTTAAAAATGAATATATTAATATATTTGGATATAATAGAATCAAATTGAACTTTTTGCATTTATTTTTCTAACTTAGTTTTAGTTTACTTTCAAAATTAGTTAGATTGATATTTGAAAGAGATGAGAAATAGATGATAGAAGAAGAGATTGATTAGAAGATAACAAGTTGAAGAGTAGCCATTGAAAGATGAATGGTAGTGGATGTAGATTGGTCCAAATAGAAGATCGAAGAAGAATTTGAAGAAAAATGTAAAAAAAAAGGAAAAAAAAGAAAGAGATATTAAAAATATAACTAAAGTTTGTATTTAATAAGTTAACATAGTTCAACTTTTTTTTAGTACGTTAACATAGTTCACATATATATATTAGTTAGTACAACATCTCACAATCTCTTGGTTGAAGATATATGTCAATTACCGTTGAGCTATGTTCGCTTTGACCCTTTGAATTATATTAAAAACTAATTAAACATAGTTCAACTAGTCAACACATTAATAATTTCTTTTCATTTTAGATTTGGATTATGTTTGAATTGTATTAAAAGAAACATAAAATGAAAAAAAAAAAGACAAAACCAATGTATAAAGAAATAATTTTTCGCCAAAGATTTTGATGCTTCATCAATGAATTACCACTTTAGGGCTAAAGCTATATCTCAAAACAAAAGGCCAACCCCCTCCTCCACAAACCAAAGAGATTTGGACAAGAGCACTTTTGGCACATGAGCTACACAAGTTTGCCAAAAATCTTCTATGGTACACTTTTTTTTTTTAATTAAATGTCATTACTACGAAAAATTTGACATTATAAAGTGAAAGGTGAGGAGAAACATAACCACCATATGATTTTTGTCCAACTTTCAGGACCATTCAGAAAATTGAAATCATAGCATACGGGTAATAAGACAAACATCGTGAGAAGTTGTCCAAGTTGCCAAGAAAGAGTTCCTTTGCACAAGTAAGAAACCAATGTATTTCCACGAATGGTCCTTGTGGAGACATAGTATTACCACCAACGATTTAGTTCTTCACCTTGTCATCGTTGAACATAATAGTAATAATAAAGAAATAGATCCTAATTTGAAGAATAAAATATTTAAAATTGAGGAAGATCTTAGTTTTAAGATATTAAATTTTTATTTTTTTAAACGAAGTGGGACATGAGTTCCAAATTCCAATTGTTTTAAATCAATTACAGAAAGCTGGTTGAATGTCACTTTTCAAGTCTGGTCATCCAACTTTTTGTTCCATTAATTATGTTTTTTTTTTTAATTTTAAAGTTTCATTATATTTTTATACAGATTTGTCGACAATATGTGCTATTTTGATCTGTCACCGACACATTCAAATCTAAAATTATTGGTAGTGGAAAATTATAATTTTATTTATATGATAGTCACATGCATCTCTCTACCTCAATTTAGCTTCATTTTAGAAGTGAATTTCACCAGAAAAAATAGTTGGAAAAAAAATAAAGAAAACAATCAAATTATGAATTTACTCTATCTACTTTTCATCATTAAAACTAAAAAACTTCGATTATATCTTAGACTTTGAATTATGTTTTTATTTAATTTCATTTTTGTATTTTTTTTTCCAATTGAACGCACGGTTCTAAATATCCGTCAACACGTCGACATTTCTATCGACATATCCATGTTTCTATGAGTTCGACATCGACAATGAAGGGTGAATCGACATTTCCATCATAGTACAAGAAAATCAACAAAATATGAAAAATATAAACAAAATGTCATTAATATATACATAATATTAATATTAATTATTAATTATTTTTAACTAATTTATGTTAATTTAAAAAATTTTTACGATTTTTAAAATTTTCTAAGTTTTACAGAAATATCTATCGACATCGACGTTTAAAACTTTGATTCAATGTACTATTTAATAATTATAGAAATTAAATTTATAATTTAATTAAATTTCACCCATTTATACAATTGTAAAAAAAAAAAACAAGGATGGAAATGGGTTGAGAATTCTTTAAAGTCCATTTTATGATATCAAAATTTAAAGAACATTCTATTCTAAGTTTTCGTCTGTCTATTTTTATTTTTGTGTTTTTTTAAATGAAGAGAGATTATGAACGTGGACAAGGGAACTCCTCCAAAACTATATTCTCTATGATTTTTCTTTCTAAATTTTTAATTATTTCAACTCTATACCATTTTAAAATTATATGCAGTAGGACGTGAATAGAAATAATATCTAGTATTGAAAATTTTATAGAGAAAAAAATAGTATCCAACGATTATTAGAGAACAACACGTTTTTGGGCCAACCTTCGATAACTATTCGAAAAGAAGAGAGAGATTATGCGTGTGAGAAATGAGAATAGGAAAATTTATTGTACTCCCAAGAGATACTCCTTATTTTCAAGAAAATTTCCTACACCAAGCCCTTGCAGTATGGATGTTCTTCTATTCATTGTTTGCTTATTTATTGTTTGTTACGTTAACATCATTTGAGAGTAATTCTAATAGTTACAGTACTTCTTTCGTACATAAATCTTTAATGTTGTTAGTATCAAAATCATTCTTCAATAATTTTAACATGACGGACAACCAATGAAAATAATATCATTACTTATATAGAAATTTTTTCAAGCGGGAAAAGAAAGGTGAGAGATTATGCGCCAATTATAGCTTAGGGAGTGTTTGAGAGTGATTTTGGCACATCTGGTAAATTAGAAAATTGTTTTTGGGAAAACTTAAAATTACTCTAAATTGATTTTTAAGTATTATTTGCATGATAATTTTAGAAAACTAATTATAAAACTTAAATAATTAAATCTTACCCATCACTGGGGATGTAGCTCAGATGGTAGAGCGCTCGCTTAGCATGCGAGAGGTATGGGGATCAATACCCCGCATTTCCAAAAATCTTCTATTCATTTTATATTTTTTTGATAATAAAGTAAAACTATATTTGTTATATTTTTGTAAAAGTACTTCGGACTATGTATATCAATAAATTACCTGAGTATGGAACATCATTCTTTTTAGGTAAAATCCTGGCTTTATTTATTAGAATATTAAAAGTTGAACCAATTTCTTTTTTCGAAATCACTACTTCTATGATTATTCTCAAACACAGTCTTTAATTCATTAGGTAAAATACTTATTACCGTTGACGAGTGATTCGAGCTCTAAACGTGAGTGAGAGATATGCATGTGGAAGTGGGAAAAGAAGAGAGGGAGAGATAAGCAAGGGAAAGAAAAGATGGGCAGTTACTGGCGAGTAGCAGTGCAACTGCAATGGCAGGGAGAGGAGCAAAAGAAAAAGGCGCCAAAAGAAACAGACTTCGATGTTAGAACCAAATGGGACCACCCCCTACCCCTACCCCTTCCAATTCCAATTCCAATTCCAATTCCATTCCAAAATGTGACAAAAAACCACAGAAATCCAAAGGTTTCAGCAGACCCATCACGAAAGCGAAACCTCACATTGCAGTCTGTGCCAAACCCAAACACCCCACCTCTCAATTATAATGCATCCCATTACCCCAAATTCCAATTTGCTTTTCCATGTTCTCCCTCTCTCAAATCTGCTTGAGGGAATAAAGACGACACCCTCTTTCTTTTTCTGCAGGAATCTTTCTCCCTCTTTTGCTTTTTTTTTTTCTCTCTTTCCCAGTCAGAGTATGGCGCTTTGTCTTTAAGACCATCTGTTGATGATGATGATGATAAAGCACAATCGTGATTGTCATCCTCCTAATTAAGCTGAAACTACATCTGGGTAAGATGAATTTGTCGTTAAATTTTGATGGGAGTGTCTGTTTTGTGTAATTTCACTATCTGTCTGTCTCTCTCTCTGTTACTTTTTGTTTTTGTTTTCTGTACCCATGTCACTAAAATTGTCCTGGCATGTATTTAAGAGGGAAACGACTTCTTTGAATAGGTTCTTTTGTAAGTTGTGTCAGTGAGATTTTGCAGCTTCTTCAGGGGCATTCTGTGGATGAATGGCTCATATTCTTTTGGTTTTACCCAAATGGGATATCTGGAAAACCAGAGGTAAGTTGGCCTGAAGTGTGCTTTCTGGGGGTTCTTTTTAGTCTTTCTGGTGGTTTTGTTGGCTGAGGATCTTGGAGTTTTGTGGTAAATAGCTTCATATAGAAGGCAAAGTCTACTTCAGTCGGTTGGTTGTTCTTCATTTTCCACGAAGTGCTTGAGTGTAGATTTCAATTAGCTGAACCTACAACTTTTGGCTGTTGGAGAGGAAAAAATACAGTTCCAATAGTAAAAAACTCCTAAATCTTGCTGGATTTTCTTTCATTTCTCTAGATTGCATGTTGGTAGTCTCAGAGTCTAAAATTCACATTTTACCTTATTTGTCAAGGTAAGGAGTTCTTATTTCTGTCCTGTTTTGTTTTGTTTTCTTCTTTTTATGCTTTTCCAAACGTTTGGAAACATAGGACCATTTCATTCAACATTTTACTACCTTGCTTCTCTCTCTCTCTCTCTCTTTTAATTATTATTTGTTTTTGGGTGCTGGTTGGGGTGGAACTTTGGCGTTTTGCTTCTGGACAGATGGAGTAGTTTACATTTTTTGGTTGGGAATTTCTATTCTAGTTTCTAAGACTATTTTATGTATCTCGTCTTCTTAATTGAATGTTAACTCTGTTAGTTTCCATATGTTTATTGCCACTTCTTGGATTTTCTGCTACAGGGTATCTGCATTTGGTTATTGAAGCTCGGGTCGACTGAAAATACTTGTCTAAAGATCATCGTTGTCATTTGGAGTGGAGTTGATGCAATAGATGCTACTCCAGTTTACTGGTTTCTGAAATCTAGTTCACTTTCATCCTGCAACTGGTTCTCTTCATATAAGGACCAATGGCTCGAGTATTTTGTAATTCTGTGTTTCTAGTTATTTTCATCTTTTTGGTTAGAGCCGATCTTTCGCAGCAATTGGAGTCGTCACAGACTCAGGCCCTTTTAAGAATACAGCAACTTCTGAACTTCCCAGCTGTATTAAGTAACTGGAATAACAGCACAGATTTCTGCAACCTGGAACCAGATTCTTCCGTGACCGTTGTATGCTATGAGGGGAACATGACCCAGTTGCATATAATTGGAAAGAAAGGAGCTCTTCTGTTACCTCGTAACTTTTCGATGAGTTCTCTCGTTACTACCCTTGTTAAGATTCCAGATTTGAAAGTGCTTACGTTAGTTTCTCTTGGTTTATGGGGGTCGATACCTGGTAAAATTGCTCGTTTATCATCAATGGAAATACTAAACATGAGCTCTAATTTCCTATATGGTGCCATGCCTCAGGAGATTTCGTTGCTATCGGGCCTACGAACACTTATACTAGATGATAATATGCTCGCCGGTCAGCTTCCTGACTGGCTCAGCATGCTTCCGCTTTTAACCGTTTTGAGCTTGAAACACAACATTCTCAATGGATCTTTGCCCAATTCACTGAGTGAACTGGAAAATCTTAGAGTTCTTTCACTTTCACATAACCATTTTGATGGAGAGTTGCCTGACTTAAGTACTTTGACCAATCTTCAAGTACTTGAATTGGAGGAAAATGCTTTTGGACCTCAATTCCCTCAACTTAGCAATAAGTTGGTTACCCTCAGACTGAGTAAAAACAAGTTCAGATCTGGTATCCCTGCTGAAGTTAGTTCGTTTTACCAGCTCCAACATCTCGACGTCTCGTTGAATTCTTTGGTTGGGCCATTGCCACCCGTATTATTTTCTCTACCATCTCTTTCCTATCTCAATATATCAGGGAACAAACTCACAGGAATGCTTTTTGATAATATTTCTTGCAATGATGAACTCGAAGTTGTGGATTTATCCTCGAATCTTTTGACTGGAAGCTTGCCGAAGTGTCTCCTAGCAGATACTAGGAATCAGGTCGTCTTGTATCCCAGAAACTGTTTTGTCACTGGAGATCAACAGCAAAATCCAGTTTCCTTTTGCCGAAATGAAGCGTTGGCTGTTGGCATAGTACCTCAGGGAAAGAAACGAGACCAATCTCATAAGGTAGTTCTCGCCCTGAGTATTGTTGGTGGAGTTGTTGGGGCTATCGCGTTACTTGGTATAGTTTACTTAGTAGTAAGAAGAAAAGATGAGAAGAATACGGCAAACAAACCTCCAACAAATGTAGTAGTAGAGAATCCATCTGCAGGGTACACCTCAAAGCTGCTGTCTGATGCAAGTAAGATAATTTCTCCTCATCTGCCTTTAGTTTGGCTTCTATTCGGCTTTCAAGAACAGGTCATACTAGTTCTTGAGAGCGAAGACCTTCTATACATCCATGTGTGAAAAGAGAAGAAAGGCTATTTGGTAGTTTCTCTAAGCAGAAAATTTGAGATCTTTGAACCCAGCTGACCATAGATAAAATTTGGGTTTAATTAACACTAGTCAATCAATTCCTTGAAGTTCAAAACTTTGAATCTGTCTTTTTCAGGACTCACCTTCTCACTTTGTCAAAATTTTACCTCTCGACAAAGAAACTATCTGAATTAAACAAAAAATTTGCAGGATTGTTACTTTGAACTTCTATTTTTTTGTTACTGCCTTCTAGTATTCTACACTGTCAAATAGTCCGAATACACTCAGGAAGGACTACAAATTCCACAACCATCAGGCCAAAACAAAATAACAACAACAACAATAATGATAGTACATATAAGATGTTTATAATGATAGCCTAAAGCTTTACTTGGATGCTTATTTTAATTTATTTACAAAAAGTACCATGACTGTGATGAGAAGAGTAGTACTAGTAGCTAAGAAATCCCCTATGCATTTTGACTCATCAACTTACAAAACTTTGACTCTGTGAACTGTGCCTCCTTCCTCCCTTGCCTCCAGGGTATATATCTCAAACAATGAAGTTTGCACCGCATGGCCTTTCAACTTATAGAGTGTTCTCATACGAAGAGATTGAGGATGCTACTAACAACTTCGACTCTTCCGCTTTCATGGGTGAAGGTTCTCAAGGACAGGTATAACTAGTTTTATTTATGATACTCAACTCTTTCATTTTGAACAAGAGTATCATACTACAAGCACAAACTTTACTTATAAGTAGCTTTAATCTTTGTTGATAACAATAATTTTTTATAGTTACTTTGAAGAGACGCTTGAATACCACTTGCACCTATTCTCCCCTTATTGGAAACATGGGTATGCCAAACCCCCCATGAGTTGCCCTAGTGGCATTGAGACACGTAAAAAGTGTAAAAGGGACTTTAGTGAATAGGTTCAAGATCCATGGTGGCCATCTATTTAGGATAAACTTCTATAAGTTTCTTGACAACCAAATATTGTAGGATCAAGTCGTTGTCTCGAGAGAATAATTGAAGTACATGTGAGCGACACTCGCAGACTTTAAAAGAAAAAAAGAAAGAAAATAAGGGCATAAAACTTAGCAGTAGACTGCAGTGGATTATCAGTTATTTGTCCTTCTCCAACCAGAAACTTCTCCATGCTCCAAATTCAATAATTTCAATTGCAACTGAATCATTTTTCAAGTCATATATACCTTTTTATGGTGTTATGGATGAAGTGCTTTTATTTACACTTCCATCTCCTGCATTTTCAGTCTGCTTATTAAAAAATATACTCATCAAAGACTCCTTGCTTTTTCTATTCTCAGATATACCGCGGTCAGATGAAGGATGGTTCTTTTGTTGCCATTAGATGCCTTAAAATGAAAAGAAGATATAGCACACAAAACTTCGCGCATCATATAGACCTTATTTCAAAACTCAGACACCGCCATTTGGTCAGCGCTCTTGGACACTGCTTTGAGTTGTATTTGGAAGATTCAAGTGTCAGTAGAATATTTCTCATCTTTGAATACGTGCCTAGTGGCATTCTGAGAAGCTGGATATCTGGTAATCTATGAACGTAATTAGTTTGCTTATCATTAAGGGAGATGGAAATCATACCCAATGTCTATACTTCATTTCTACATTTTAACTATTGTAAGCTTAATGCCATACATGTTTTGCTCACAATGCATTGCAGAGAGGCATTCGAGACAGTCGCTTACTTGGACGCAACGTATAGCAGCAGCAGTAGGGATAGCAAAAGGCATTCAATTTTTGCACACGGTTGCTGGTGTATATTCAAATAACATTAAAATAACAGATGTGTTACTGGATCAAAACCTTGTTGCAAAAATTAGCAGTTACAACCTTCCTCTAATGGCTGAGAGCATGGCCAAGGTACAAAGATTTTTTTTTCCTCCCGTTGGGCAGTCTATCCACTTCATAGGCCCTTCTGTTCTCTCTAGTTCAATGACCGTTATAACTTCTCAGGTCAGTCGGGGAATTTCTTCCAGTGGATCCAAAGATCCCAGTGACGACGAAAGGTTGGTTATGAATAATTTTAACGTATGCTCTCACCCTTAACTTAGAATCTACTAAAGACATTATATGCACAAAGTTTCTTTGGGACTGAAGCTGTAGAAGTGATCGAACGACCCCTATATCCGTATGAAATTTTCTCTCAATTTATTTACTTCGCAGGACCAATCAAGAAGCTCTAGCTGACATCTATGACTTTGGAGTAATATTATTAGAAATCATTCGTGGGCGAGCCTTGAAATCGAGAAACGAGATTAATGCTCTAAGAGAGAAGGTAATATTGATTAATTACTTTGCTTTGCAATATGCGTGCGTGTGTCAAAAGTAGACATGTTTGTTTATATTGTTATTTAAGGTTTGTGCTGTTCTTTTTGATGCACATAGTTACAAGAAGGCATTTCATCTGATAGCGTCGTGCGAAGGAGCATTGTCGATCCTGGCGTTCAAAACGAATGCTTGGATCAATCATTAAAAACTATGATGGAAGTTTGTGTCAGGTGTCTGCTCAAGGACCCTGTAACCAGACCTTCCATTGAAGATGTTCTCTGGAATCTGCAGTTCGCCGCTCAGGTTCAGGACGCGTGGAGTGGGGGAGAATTCCGTAGCAGCAGCGAGGGGTCTCCCGTCTCCCCTTCTCAGCCTAAACTCTCAATCTGTTAATGGTCTCAAAGAGGTTCATAATAGTTCTTTCGGCTGCTTTCTTATTTACTCTTCACAAAGTTCATAGTTTGAGCTTGCAAAAAAAAACTAGAGTTGAAGGGAACTTTTTGAAGAGAGAACATTGTAGTTTAAGCTTTTGGGTTTACTAAAAATTTCAAATGAAAATGTGCAGTTTTGATATTCAAGTTTCTGTATACATTAATTCAAAAATGTGCATGTAAATATTTTTGTTATTTATTTTACTGCAGGGGCAAAATGGGATGCAATTCTGCTGAAACAGAAGACAGCTCTAGAGCTGCTAGCATAGCAGTTGGTAGTTACAAATCGAATTTAGTGCCTGTTTGATAACAATTTTGTTTTTAATTTTCTGTTTTTAAGAACCGTGCTTATTTATTTGTAATTTCATTTGTTTTGTAATCTACTTCTAAAATTGTTTTTAACACGTACTCAAAAGTTAAAAATATAGTTCCAAAACTCTGTTTTTCTGTTTTTTGAAATTTGATTAAGATTTCAAAAGTGTCTACAAGGAGCGAGAAACTCAGAGAAAAAAAAAGATCATTAGTAGACAAGCTTAGTTTTTAAAAACAGAAAATACAAAACAAAATTGTTATCAAACGGATCTTAGGTAATGTCTTATCACTGCTGATTATGGTGCCAAAGAGATCACTGGTTTCAGTTGAAGTATATATCATCCAAAGCGGTTGCAAAAGACTGCTCTTATCTGACTCGATTTTAGCAGAACATACATCCCTTTGTTTCTGCAAACATTGAATTGGTGTGATTGTTACATTTATCCAAATATTCCATGTTAGCTGCTTGAGAATTGTCTATATAGTTTTGGTGTTACGTTGTAAGAGTTATAATTCGAGCGTAGTTTCGATTGTCTCGAATCACATCTTATCATATCGAAAGTAGAGAGACTCGTATTTATAAGTTAGTATCGAACACGAGCTGATGAAGGATGTTCGACAATCTCTTTCTCTTCATAATTTTGAATATGATACCAGTTTTTGTACAAATATGATCTTTGATCTTCGAGAAGTTGTCTTTTTGGTCAGCTCGAGCCAATAATAAGTAGCCTGTGTTGCTAAGCTGATGGTTGTTAACTGTCACTTAGTGTTATTTTGTTATTTTTGCATAATTTTCGGTTTAAATTTTACTTTGTTCCTTCAACTCGTCTGTTTAAATCTCATTTTAGTTCTTAAACTTTCAAGTTGGTTGGCGTTGGCGGTTTGTGTTGGTGTTATTTTGTTATTTTTGCATTGGTCAATATTTGATTATAGTACTAATTTTGTTGGTTTAATCTTATTGTAGCTCTCGAACTTTCAAATTTGTTTAATCTCCTTTTTTGTCCTTAAATGTTTTTTATTTTGTTATTTTGAGTTCATGATGTTGTCACTTTTCCGTTCAACTTCTTTTGTTCTGCTTTTTTCTATTTGTACCAAAAATAATTTTGGTTTAAATTTTATTTTAAATTTGGTTTAAATCTTATTTTAATACTTGAACTTTCAAGTTTGTTTGATTTCGATCTCTAAATTTTCAAAATGTCCATTTTGATTTCTAGACTTTTAGTTTGTTCCATTTTGGTCCTTGGTTTTTAAAATATTTATTTTAGATCCTGAAATTTCTAAAAATAAACATCTTGACCCGTAACTTTATTTTGTTTTTAACACATTAATGAGGTTGCTTCTACGATGTGTACCAATATTTTAACGTGAGTCATGTGTTCAAGTCTCATAGGTTGGAGGCGAGTATTGATCTAGCAGATATTAGGTGGCAGATTAATACAGTGAGGGCCAAAATTATTATTTTTGTAAGTAAAGTGACTAAAATAGACATTTTGAAAGTTCAGAGATCAAAATAGAAGRAACTTGAAAGTTAGGGACCAAAATTGATATTTTGAAAGCCAAATGAAATTTAAACCTTATTATTTATTTTTATTTTCTTTTTTAGTGAATTTTATATCCATGCGTGACCTCGTAAACCTAAGTTCGAGAGAAAACTGAACCACGTTAAAAATGATGGTATCACTCTCATGACTTGCGTCATTCTCTCATTTATTTTATCTCCGTTTACTTGTGCAATTATTGTAATGGTATCACTTTTTAACTAACCTAACAATGGTCTCTTTATAGTTTATATTGTCATAAAAAAAATTATAGATTTTCAAAGTAAGCAAAATAAACTCTTTTTGACGGTAAAATAATTACTAGGTTAAATTATAATATTGGTTCTTATGATTTTGGGCTTTAGTTTCAAAAAAAAAAATTCTTTTTTATTGCAACAATAAAGGTGATAATTCGGATGCACGATTTATTGGTTGGAGAGAGGTGCTTTAATCAGTTGAATTAAGTTCAAGTTTTAAAATTTTAGTTTCAACTTAGACTCTACTATTATAAAAGTTTCAATTTGATTCCTATTATTTATTCAAACTTCACAAATTGTCCAAATCATCACCATATTGACATTTCTTATATGTGTGAATGAGTTAATGTTTTCTATTTGGCCATCCGTATTCGGTGGCTTTATCAGAGTCCAGGGTTGAGTAAAAAAAAGACAAAAATAGAAATTGATTAGTTTTTAAGGCGAAACTAAAGGATCGAATTAAAACATTTCCAAATTATAAAAAGCAAATTAAAAATTTTAAACTATGAGACCAAATTAAAACTTCTAAAATCATAGGACCAAATTGTCACTATACTCAAACAATAGGAACTAAATTTATAATTTGTCCTAATTACTATACGGGTTTAGACAATCTTGTCGGTCCTTTTTTTTTTTCTTTATCTTTGAGTATTTTGATTAACTTGCGTGCATCTCGTCTAATCACGGGATAATCGTCTACTAATTTTACTACTTGTTATCCACTATGATGGTTGAATTGGTAAATTGAGATTTGAAACTCAAATCTCTTCCCTTGTTAGAAAGAGATTCTTTATTTTGCTAGGTTTTTAGGACTATAGATTACTTGTCACAAAAGCCAAAATGTACTTAAATTCAACCTTTTGGCTTGATGGCCACCTTTTGTTTTTATAACCATAGTCAACCCTATATTTTTTAAAGCATGATCTGAACTTGTTGTCATATAGTTTGTCTTTAATTGGAAATTTTGGAATGGGAAGTAAAAAACAAAATAATTCAATGAGAAAGAACCTTTTCACCATGGATTTCAATGTGTTAAATTATAATATAATCACTAAAATCAAATGTAAAACAATATTAAACATATAACATGCATTACAATTCTATAGTTTTATACCAAGCTTTTTTAGAAAGGAGATCATAGTTTGTGTTTGTGACATACTTGAACAAGTGCGTTTGAATCTTCCCACAAATTAAGTCTAAATTCTAATGTGAATGTAATATCATCCTTTAATGTGCTCTATTCATAAAAGTATCTCGATTTTATAATTCAAGTTTGATTTAAACCGTGGGGTGAATGAAATAAATAAGAGAGATTACAATGAGTGAATCTAATAAGGGCCAATGTAAATGGTGAAAGGCTTAAAGGGAATGAGTTCAAACTATGGTAACTACCTACCTATAATTTAATATCCTACGAATTACTCTAACAATCAAATATAATAGGGTCAAGCCATTGTTCGGTGATATTAGTCGAGTGCGCCAAGCTGGCTTAGATACTTGTAGAACCTTTTATCTTATTTAATATCTCACACTCAAAAGCCACATGGGAGCTAGAGAGAACAAAAAAATGTTAAAGTTGAATATTTGATTTAAATTTAACAAATGACTAATAATCTTTCAAAGAAAAAAATTATTTAAATATTATTCCGGTCTCTATATTTTTTACTTTGGTTCATTTTGGTCCTATACCTTCAAAACTTCTATTTTAGTCCCTAACTTTCAACTTTGATTCGTTTTAGTTTTAGGTTATATTTACTTTGAGGGAATGAAAATAAAGGGTGAGAATCAAATTTCTCATTAGAATCAAATGGTGGGTGGGACCCACATATTCCTTAAAAATGGGTAATCTCATTCCTCTCCTACAACATCATCAATCTCAATCATATTTCTTATTCCTAGGCCTCACACATTTATTACAATTACTTTTCTACTTTTACTATTTCTCTCTCACGTATTAATGAGACCTATAATTTTTTTAATTAATTGTTTTATACCTTTATCATTTTTTTTCATTTATACAGCTAATAATTTTTATTCTAATAAAAATTTTACCACTTTTATTAGTCGATGTGAGTTTATATAATTATTATTAATTAATATCAATAGATTTTTAAAATGGAATTCATTATTATTAAATATTATAATAATTTAATAATATTTTATATTAAATAATGATGTTTCTCATAAAAAAAAAGTATTTTAGTTAGATATAATTTTATTTTAGTTATTCATTATTTATTAATATTAAATAAATTTTTATAATAAAAAATATTTACAACCAATAATATAGTAATAAAATAAATTATTATTGTAATTAAAAAAAGGGTCAGCAGAGCACTGTATTTGTAATTACCTATAAAGAATAAAATGGTATACTAGTACTTGTTATATATCAGATTCTGGTTTCGATTCCAGACAGTCATAAAATTACATTAAATGAATTCTATTGTTTATAAAATTTATGTTAAAAAAAAAAGACTAATGTTTCAGCCATAAGTAAGTTTTTTTTTTCAAAGGAAAATATATTAAACAAAAAAATAGAGAATCTCACCGTCTGAGATCAAAGGCACAACATCGAAAAGGCAAACAAAAAAGAAGATGATAGAAAAGCAGAGATAAATATAGGCTCAGAACTCAAACAACAACTCCCACACCAGATTGTACAACGATAATAGACCTCAACTTTCAAAATGACAGAAGGAGACCGACTTACCTCATCTGCATAAATTCTAGCATATTAAATAAGGGTTATTTATTTATCAAAGTCTAAATATGTTGAAAAGTCTTTTATTTTATTTTATTGTTTAATTTATGATTATTTTGAGCAATATTCAAGAGCTGATTGATAGAGTTGTAATTTTTTTAAAAATGAAAATGAAGTGAAAACATAACTAGAAGTCTAGATCATAGTTTTTCAAACATATTATTTTTACGCATGACCTATTTTAAAAACAATTGAAATTATTCTTTATTTATCCGAGAAGCGAAGGTTTATGACTACCTACTTTTTTTTAGAAATAAAATAAGAAAATTAAAATAAGAGAACAAATTCCATTGCAATAGAGAACCTCCTTTCTCCTCCAATTTCCATCGCCTTTTTTGCCAAGACATGGGCCGCATTGTTCTTCTCCCTACAGATGTGGTTAATTGCTACGACATTCTTCTCTTCCACCAACCAACAAATCTCAGTTAGGTCAGTGTCTTCTTTCTTGATGAGACGAAGTGCTTCCAAAGAATCAGGTTCCAAGTAGAGAGGCCAGCAAGTGTTCATGTCAATTTAATGAAGACCTTTGCAAATCGCCATTAATTCAAGAAATTTTATTGATCTGTTTCACAGCATCCGCAAGAATCGCTTCACCTCTCCAATTTCGCACGATCCAACCCAAGCCTCCAACACCACGATGTTCATTCCAGGCAGCATCAGTATTGATTTTCCAGAAATTCGTAGGCGGAGGACTCCAACTAGTGATTATTCTATTTCTTTCCTCATTTGATTCAATGCGGATCTGATAATTGCCTCTAATTCTCGGAATATCTGTTGTTGAGAAGTTTTGTTCATCTGGCTTGACGTCTGCTTGGAATTTCTCTATTGAATTGCATAGATCTTGTTCAATTGGAGCTTCCCCTCTGAAAATTGTTCTGTTCTTGTGCTCCCATATCTGCCATGCTATTATCATTCGAGTAGCGGTCTCTTCTTCAGTTGTGTTGTCAATGATCCAACTCCAGTAGTCTTTAGCTTTCCGCTGTGTTCTGTCCAAAACAAAACAGGACGAATAAATAGGAATATACTTAGCCCRAAGGTGCTTTGTTACCTTGCATCCCCATAGTAGATGCTCTATTGTCTCCTCCTGTTTCCTGCACAAGCCACACAAAAAGTTAGTAGAAATTCCTCTTTTACACAAATTTGTTTTGGTGGGAATGATATCGTGATAAAGCTTCCAACAACAGATTTTGATTTTGGGAAGAACTGTTATTTTCCAAAAAGTTTTCCACCATTTGCTATTGTACTCCTTGTTAGAAGAGGACGTTAGGCTCGAGTTCTCCATGTCCATGCCGAGGCGATAGGCGCTTTTGACACTGAAGACACCCTTTTTATTAGGATTCTAAATCACCTAATCTTCTCTACACTCTTTTGGTAATGGAATGTTTAAAATAGTTTCAGCATCGTGCTCATTGAAATAAGTTCTGATTATATCTTCATTCCAAGTTCCCCTCTCTCTTATCAAGAAAGCCACATTGTGATAGCGTATTGGATTTTGGACTTGGAAAGGGCACCTGTTTCCATTTCCCGGCAGCCACGGATCTGTCCCAATTGTCACTGAGGAGCCATTTCCAATTATCCACCTATGACCTTTAACAAAAAGCTTTTTGCCTCACATGATGCTTCTCCAAATCAACGAAGGGTTTTTCCCAATTCAGCTTTCATAAAAATGCCATGATTGTAATATTTACCCCTCAAAACTTTAGCCAAGAGACTGTCAAGATGTTGGTGTTAGACGCCAGCTCTCTTTAGCAAGCATAGCTTGGTTGAAAACACCAATATCTTTGAAGCCCAGACCCCCTTGGTCTTTGCTTATACATCGCTTCTTCAAACTTTTCCAATGAATTTTCCTTTCCTTTTCATTAGAGCCCCACCAAAACCTAGCATAAAGCGAATTAATTTCAGTACATAAGCTCGTGGGAAGTTTGAAGCAGCTCATAGTGTAAGCTGGGATGGCTTGAGCTACAGTTTTTATCAAGATCTCCTTGCCCCCGATGGAGAAGATCTTCTCCTTCCAACCCTGCAATACTCGCCATACATTATCTTTAATAGAACTGAAAACTTGACATCTGTTTCTCGAAGTTTGAGAAGGAAGACCCAAGTATTGGCCAAGAGTATTGGTGTGGTTAACTTGGAGCTCTTGTTTAATGCAATCCATAGCTTCTGGTTTTGTATTCTTGCGCACCATGAACATTGATTTCTCAAAATTCACCATCTGCCCCGAAGCTCTTTCGTAAGTGCTCAACACGTTCTTTAGAGTGACACAATCTTTTGGAATAGCTTTAAAGAATAATAAGCTGTCATCTGCAAAAAAAAACAAGAAAAACAAGTGAGTTATAGGAGGACAATGTTTATTAATATGCAAACCTGAGAAGTTATTATTTCTTTCCTCCGTGTTGAGAAGAGTTGAAAGACCTTCAACGCATAAGAGGAATAAGTAAGGTGAGAGTGGGTCGCCTTGACGAAGACCTCTACCAGGCTTGAAGGACTTGCTTGGAACCCCGTTTAAAAGGACTGAGAAGCTAACGGACTCCACACAATTCATAATAAGCTCAATCCATTTGTCACAGAAGCCCATTTTAGCCATAACTTTCCCGAGGAAGATCCACTCAATACGATCGTAGGCTTTGCTCGTGTCCAATTTGAGGGACACCATTCCTCCTGAACCAGATCGTTTATTATTGAGAGTATGGATGCATTCAAACCCGACAATAGCATTGTCTGTTATCAATCTTCTGGAACAAAAGCAGACTGCGTTGGGGAGATTACATAATCTAGGACACGTTTTAGTCGGTTAGCAAGAACTTTAGAAATGATTTTGTAGATAACATTGCAAAGACTAATGGATCGGAAGTCCTTCGTATTATTTGCATGTTTCTTTTTTGGGATGAGAGTAATAAGTGTTGCATTGAGAGAACCAACATCAACCCCATCATTCAGCACTTTAAGACAAATTTCAGTAGTCTCTTTGCCCACTATCTCCCAATAATTTTGGTAAAACAAAACTTGCATTCCATCCGGACCGGGCGCTTGTTAAAAGTGAATATACTTATAAGCAATCCGTTCATAATTATTAACAACAAAAAAACAAAAAAACGAGTATAATTTAGCGGTAACTGTCATATATCTCCAATTATGAAGTTATGAATTTGATCTCATCCATTATATATTATATTAAAAAAAACAAAAATAAAAGAAAAATGAATAAATTCTAAAAGTACAATTCCTTACTTTTAAAAAGATTATGTTTGATACTCAGAATATATATGTGTTTGAACAAAATAAATAAATAAAAGATCAAAATAATATCGTAACAAAATAATCTTTCTTTTTGCAGATTTGTTTTTTAAAATTATTTTTTTTATTCTACGTACGATGAAAGAGAAAAAGTTTTTAAAACAAAATTTTTGTTGAATTTAGGTTTAAAACTTTAACAGGTAGAAATACATTAAAATTTATAAAAAAATTTGATAAATATATTATTTCAGGGTAGAAACCCATTTCTTTTTCGTCAAAATAAAAATGTATAAAACATAATATATTATAAATTATATAGTGTTATAAAATAATAATATACAATTAATAGATTAATTAACAATATTTTAGATTTAACTCAATACTACAAATATATTACTAAAATAGAACAATCCTAAACGTTGTAGACTTAAATGAAATTTAACCCAATGTATAAATATTTCCTTAAAATGTAGTGTAAGGTCTTAATTGTCGATATGGATGGAAATGTCAATGTCTCAATTTTATAGAAATATTGATTGGAATATCAATGAAATGTCAATATCGAATATTTATAAAAAAATTATAAAAATATAATTTTTTAAAAATTAATTAAATTAACAAATAATCATTTTACCCTTTTAATAGGGGTGTTCAGGAATCCGACGAACCCAACCCAATCCGTAAGGGTTGGATTGTGTTAAATAATGACTCGGTTTGGGTTGGGTTATGTTTTTTAAGAACTGTTCGATTCGGTTCGATTCACAGATTGAGGAAAAATATATTCGGTTCAACCCGAACTGTTTTTTAAGAAAGTTTCTAAGTTTAAAATTTGTGTTTCTAGTATTATATGCATATTAATGATATTTTGTATATATTTTCTAATACTTTGTCAAAATTTTTCCAATACAATAAAAATATCGATTTGTCAATGAACCTATGAAAATATAGGAATGTCAAATATGTCGATAAAAATTTAGGGCTCATTTGGTAATGTTCTCGTTTCCAATTTTAGTAAGAAACTTAAGCATTTTGCTACTAATTATGCTTATTGTTTCTCTTTTTTTTTTTGAAACATTCTCAAAATAACATGTTTCTATCYTATCATATTTAAATTCAAGAGTGTTTGGATCATGTCATTAATTTTTCTTTTATTAGAAATAAGAAAACGAAAATAAGAAGCAAGAATGTTACTAAACATAACTTGACTTATTAAAATATCCATGTCCGACCAAAAATTCGGTGTATTATTTTAACAACAAATTCTATGTATATATAAATAAATATATACCAAAAGTCAATGCTTCTCCACTATAAATATTTCCATGATTTAAAGTGGAAAAGGGCGCCCACTTTCGTTTTCGATTTCTCCTCTGTTCTGTTCCTTTTCTGTTACGCATTTTCTCTAGCGATCTCTGCAATTCTCTCTCTTTCCATTTTCATACAGAAATCGAAGCTCTCTCTCTCTCCACCTCTGCATGTTCATCCATGGCGATCAATTTCTGGCCGTTGGCGTGTATTCAGACTCAGAACAGCCGCAATCTTACGCCGCGGCCTCATTATCCGTCGATGCCCAAATATCCGGCTGGGGTTTCGGCGCAGGAGAATGACTTGCTGTTGTCCGAGACCACGGCGTTCTTCTCCGTCACCGGTATGACCTGCTCTGCTTGCGCCGGCTCCGTCGAGAAGGCAGTAAAACGCCTCCCTGGGNCTTGTTTTTTAATTGTTTTCGGTTATCGTCTCGTTTGTGCTCTGTTTTCCTCCGTGATTTTAAAAATAATTTTTTGGAGCGATGTGATGTAATTTCTAGTTAGACGTGCAAGTTAAGTATTGGCTTACTTTGCGTTGAATTGATCAGATTGCGCCTAGAATTGGTGAGGGATTATATTGTTCGTTTATTGCCCAGGGCTTTACCATTCAACTCTAATGCTTAATTAATAGTAAACGATTAGAGCTCTTGTGGTAATAGCTGAATCGTTTTCAAGTTCTTGCATGACGTTGGAAATCTGAAGCAAGTTATTATGCAGCTTCTTTTCATTATTGTAGGATATTTTGTCCCATGATTAGGATTAAATATTCTTCATTTCTTAGAGTTTAATGGGATTCAATTAAATGGACGAAGCCTAATCCTTCTTAACCTTAGCTTGGTTTAATATGAACGTCATGGTTGCTATTTGCCATAAGGTGGTAAAATTAAMGATAATTGACACTGATCGCATTGAATTTAAGTTTGTGATTTCCTCTTGACTATGCGCGCACAGGTGGATCAAATATGTGAGGCAATTAACGATGCAGGCTTTGAAGCAAGTGTAGTCAATGATGACATGATAGAAAGATGTCGAATTCGTGTAATTGGAATGACTTGCACTTCTTGTTCCACAACTTTGGAATCTACCTTACAAGCAATTCATGGAGTTCAAAATGCCCAAGTTGCATTAGCCACAGAAGAGGCTGAAGTTTGTTATGACCCAAGAATTTTGAGCTACAATCAGCTTCTCAAAGCCATTGAAGATTCTGGATTTGAAGCTTTACTTATTAGCACAGAAGAAGATGTGAGCAAGATACAGTTGCAAGTTGATGGAGTGAGAACTGAGAATTCAATGAGAGTAATTGGGAGCTCTCTGGAAGCACTGCCTGGAGTTCTGGGTGTTGATATTGATCCTGCACTTGGCAAACTTTCCTTGTCTTACAAGCCAGATGTCACAGGACCTCGAAATATAATCCAAGTGATTGAATCAACGGGATCTGGTCGATTTAAAGCGACAATATTTCCTGAAGAACAGGGGAGAGAAGCTTATAAAAGGGAGGAAATTAAGCAATATTACAGATTGTTCTTGTGGAGTCTGATATTTACAATTCCAGTATTTTTAAGCTCCATGGTCTTCACTTATATACCTGGTATTAAGGATGGGCTGGATACCAAAATCATCAATATGATGAGTGTTGGGGAGCTGCTGAGGTGGGTGCTATCAACTCCCGTGCAGTTCATTATTGGTAGGCGTTTTTATACTGGGTCCTACAAAGCATTGCGTCAAGGTTCTGCGAATATGGATGTTTTGATTGCTTTAGGAACAAATGCAGCATACTTTTATTCAGTCTACATGGTCTTAAGATCTGCAACCTCTAGTGATTTTATGGCCACAGACTTCTTTGAAACCAGTTCCATGCTTATTTCATTCATTCTCCTTGGAAAGTATCTCGAGGTCTTGGCGAAGGGAAAGACATCAGAAGCTATTGCCAAGCTTATGAAGTTGGTGCCTGAAACAGCAACCTTGCTTACTTTTGATAATGATGGAAATGTCATTAAGGAAGAAGAAATTGACAGTCGATTGATACAAAAGAATGATGTAATTAAAGTCATTCCAGGGGCAAAGGTTGCTTCAGATGGAGTTGTTATTTGGGGACAAAGTCATGTCAATGAGAGCATGATTACAGGAGAGGCGAAGCCAGTAGCAAAGAGAACAGATGATCCGGTGATTGGAGGCACCTTGAATGAGAATGGAGTGCTACATGTGAGGGCAACGCATGTTGGATCTGAAAGTGCTCTTGCACAGATTGTGCGACTTGTTGAATCAGCTCAGATGGCCAAAGCTCCAGTTCAAAAAATTGCTGATCGCATCTCAAAGTTCTTTGTGCCAATGGTCAGTATGTCATGCTCTAACTTTTCCTTAATAGTTTCATGCATCTTCATAGTTTCCATGAGGGATACTTGGAAAATCTACCCCTAAGCTATTAGGATAGTTTTCTCAAAATCTTTTATTTCATAAATTTAACCTTGCAACATTATCGATTTTGCAACCTCTGCCCCCATACTTAAAATGAATTGACTTTCATATTAAATTTTTCGAAATTTTCACGTTTCCTATCAAAGGACAATAAACTCAATAATTGTGCAGTAGATTTTGCGAATTTCCTTAATTATATATGTAAAACAGTAAGTTTAAGTTTGATCTCTTCTCTTTGTAGGTAATAGTCCTTTCATTGACAACATGGCTTGTCTGGTTTCTTACTGGGAAGTATGGCGGCTACCCAAAGTCATGGATACCTTCTTCCATGGATAGCTTTGAGCTTGCACTCCAGTTTGGTATATCAGTTATGGTCATAGCATGCCCTTGTGCTTTGGGCCTAGCAACCCCAACTGCTGTCATGGTTGGAACAGGAGTCGGAGCATCAAAAGGTGTCTTAATTAAAGGGGGCCAAGCATTAGAGAGCGCTCACAAGGTTAAATATTTCAGTGCCACTTTAACTCTCTTGTGATGCATTTCTTCCTTTTCATTACTGTTTGAAAACTCTTTGATTCATTTTGATCTAATAAAATCATGTCAAAGATGGGAGTACATGAATCAAAATGCAAATTGTGAAAAACTGTTTCCTATATAACTGGCTTTCATCCTTACAAGTAACTCAAATTCAGGCTAAACAGAATGATTTAGTTGGTCGATAGTCGGAAGGTCATTTTTCCTCTTTGTTCTCTCGGAGTATTTTAATTTTTAAATGTTGAGGAGAATAATGACATGTAGGTGAGTTGCATCGTGTTTGACAAGACTGGAACTCTTACTGTTGGGAAGCCAGTTGTGGTGAACACAAAGCTACTAAAAAATATGGTTCTGAAGGAATTCTATGAATTAGTCGCTGCAACAGAGGTCAGCTTCATTACTTGGAATTTTCCTTATTCTTATTTATGTTAGAGATATCATTACTCTGCAACTTCTTTGTTCTGCACTTGAATCAGGTAAATAGCGAACATCCTTTGGCCAAAGCCATTGTTGAATATGCTAAAAAGTTCAAAGAAGAGGATGAGAACAAATCTTGGGCCGAAGCTTTGGATTTTATCTCCATTACAGGACATGGAGTTAAGGCTATTGTTCAAAACAAAGAAGTAATTGCAGGCAACAAGAGTCTTATGTTAGATCAAGACATCTCCATACCTGTTGAAGCTGAAGAAATATTGAAAGAAATTGAAGAAATGGCTCAAACTGGGATTTTAGTATCCATTGACAGGAAATTGACAGGAGTTCTTGCGATATCTGATCCACTAAAACCAAGTGCTCGCGATGTCATTTCCATTCTCAAGTCCATGAAAGTTAAGTCCATCATGGTGACAGGTGATAATTGGGGGACAGCAAAGTCCATAGCCAATGAGGTCGGGATTGATGACGTAATTGCCGAAGCCAAACCCGATCAGAAAGCAGAGGAAGTGAAGAAGTTACAGGTAGATTATTAATCTACACTCTCTTCAAATAGAAACTTATTATAAATTATAACCACTTTAAATGGTGAATAGAACCAAATTCCTTTTTGCCTTGAAACTTTGTTGATGAAACTATTTGTTTATGAACTGGATCAATGTTTGTTTGGTTGGACTATAAGATGCTTACATGTAGTAAATAATCACCTACAAATTGTTTCATCATTTGCATTGATGATCATAGATTGAATTACTAATTACAGATGATTCTCTCCCACTTTTGAGTTTCAATAATAAATGTGAAATTTTATTGGCGTTAATGCTGATCTTACCCTTTCTAACCTCTTCACTAATTATGGTTTTGAACTTTGATGTAAAGTCTATGGGTCACACAGTCGCGATGGTGGGAGATGGGATCAATGACTCGCCAGCGCTCGTCGCAGCAGATGTTGGAATGGCAATTGGTGCAGGAACAGACATTGCCATCGAGGCAGCTGACATAGTTCTCATGAAAAGCAACTTGGAGGATGTGATAACAGCCATTGACCTTTCAAGGAAAACGTTTTCCAGGATCCGTCTGAACTACATTTGGGCGCTCGGTTATAATCTTCTCGGCATCCCTATTGCAGCAGGAGTCCTATTTCCATCGACTCGGTTCCGTTTACCTCCATGGATTGCAGGAGCAGCAATGGCAGCATCTTCGGTTAGCGTTGTTTGCAGTTCTCTCCTGCTCAAGTACTACAAAAGACCCAAGAAGCTAGATGGCCTTGGAATACAAGGCATTAGAGTTGAGTGATTCTGGTAAGGTTGAAGGTGAATGAATAAGCTTCTTATTTTTGTTTTTCTCCTAAATTTGTGACTTGAAAGAATAGGAATAGTTCTAGTGTGGTATTAGCACTGGATAAGAAAAATACTTACATGTTAATCGATCAACACTCATCTTTTTTTTACCACCACTAAAATTTGGACAAATAGGAGAGAGAAATAAAGAAAAATATATTTTTTTGGTTTTTTCAAAAAACTGAAAAACTATCCAATTTTATTGATGGTTAGGAAAAAGATGGGTTTTGATCGGTAAGCATCTATAAATGTTAGATACATCTAGTTACTGTTGTGAACAATGTGGTGGATCAAAAAATAATGGTAAAATTGCCCATGTCATTCAATGATAATTGTTGAGTTTGTGATAAAGCTCATGTTATGTATACAATTATGCAGGGTTTTCCTGATATCTTATAAATGATCAATTAGATATACAACTTTTTACCATGATTTTTTCTTCGTACTAGCATGATAGGGATTGAACTTCCAACTTCTAGAGAATGAGGAAGGTGTCTTAATCGCTAAGTTGTGTTTATATCGTAGAATCATATAAATAATTAAATGGTACATCAATTTGTTTTAATAATTATATAAAAATAAGATACTATGTAGAAAAAAGTATCCACTTAAGTTTAGTTTAATTGGTTAAGATATGATCGAGCTAACTGGTCAGATCAGAACATTGTGAGTTCGTATCTTTACCTGTATTAAAAAAAAAAAAAAGTAGAATAGAGGTATTAAGTATTAGTTGACAAATCAATATTTTGTCAAACATTTCTATATAGCTTTTTTTTTTAAACAAAACATTTCTAAAGGTTCAAAATTAAAAGTTTTAGATCCTATTAGACAGTTTTAAACTTCAGGCCTCGTTAGACATGAAATTGAAAGTTCTAATACCTATTAAACATTTCAAGGACCTATTCGATACAATCTTGAAAATTTTAGGATTAATTTTGTAATTTAACCTATCTTTTTTAATGGTGGTTATCAACTAAATATTTAGTTGAATCTAAACTATTATTAATGAATTTATTAATACATATGTTATAAAGTTTATATAATTATTATATAACTTATAATATATTATGTTATAGATATTTTAATTTTGAAAAATATAAAAGAGTTTATAACCAATATTTACCTTTTGAAAATTTAAATTTGAAACCTTAATATATTAAAAATGTAGGAATGTTGTTTTGTTTTCCCAAAATAAATTGGCCAAATACATGTTCATTGAATTGAGTGAATTTGAAAATAAGAAATACATTCTAAATTGCATACCAAATTCTTCCCTAAAAATTTAAAGACGACAGATATGTTATATTTAAACACTATTTTTTAAAGGTTGAATGCTATTTTAGTCCTTGTTTTTTTAGATTTTTTTATTTTGGTCCATTTTAGTCATTGTATGTTTAATTTTATTCTTAGTCATTACTTTCTTTCTTCATTTTGGTCCCTGTATTTTACCAATTTGATTCATATTTGTAAAATTTTAACACAAATATTATACATAACAGAAACCATTTAATACAAACTTAAAAGAGATAGATAAAAATGAAAATATAGGAACCAAATGGTCACCTTTTATAAGTACTAGTATTTTAGCACGTGCTTCACACGTTATATTTTAAGTTTTTCAATCCAACCAAGTTATATAAATTCAAAAATAGGCTAAGCGAGTAGTATATACGAAATATTCGGGTATTTCATAAATATGCTAAGTGAGTAGTGTATACAAAATGTTTSGGCTTTTTTTACTAACTACTATATATGTACACATACTATTATATTTAAAATAATTTGAACTTCATAATAATGTAAGCTACACAATCAATCTCCAAATTATCAACCTCTTTAGACTTTGCAAAATTCAAATAAAATTATATATAAAAACAATAAAAAAATTATATGGAAGGAAGATGACAAATTTTAGTCTACGTAGTTTTAATATGTTGTCATTATTGAAAATATATTTATATATATTACACAATCTTTTGTAGTTTTAATCTTTTCTTTTTTCTTGAATTCTTATAATTATTAAAAGATTATATATATAAAAGTTTAGAATTAAAAATTTTGGAGGTAAGAATGTGAAGAGAGGTTAATCCATAAGTTTTTATATTTATTTTATTTTTCAATTGAAATATTTAATATTGTTTAKGTAGATGTGTGAAGTTGACTTGATATTTATAAAGAAAAAAACCTAAATTCTTTATGCAATTAAGATGATTGTGTATATCAAGTTAGAAGAAGAAATATTATTATTACTAATCAATAAAGAAATAACACTAAACAGAGAATGAACAAATTTTTTATTAAAAAAAAAAGAGAGAGTTTTTATACCGTTGTAGAAGGGAAAGAAGTGAAAGAATGTTATAAAACTATAAAACTATCAAAATTCTAAAATTTTGAAATTTTATTATTAATTTTTTTAAGGAATTTTATTGTTAATTATATTGAAAGTGTCATCATAAATTTATAATTAATTTTTAGAAATAAATTTTATTTTCAATTTTAACATTATATTGTCATTTGTCAATTTTATGAACTTATTTAAATTATTAATTTTAAATATTTTGATACTTTTGTTTTAAATAAATATTAAATATTAAATTCTCGAGGAATTTGTAYGAGTATCTTAAAGAATTTAACTTTTTAAAAAATATGATATGAAAGGATTTTATTTATGTATGAGTGGATGAGATTTTCGAATAATATTTAAGCGGGGATGTGATATAGTTTAATGTTGAATATATATATATATCGTTGATTAATAAACCTTCAAMATAAAAATATTGTGAGAGATAAAAAAGAGAAAAATAAAGAAGAATAAGAAAAAAAAATAAACATGACAATGTTGTTAAAAATAAGTGAACTGAGCCATTTTACCCAATGATAAAAGGAATTGTTGTAAGACTTTAAAATTCTAGGGTTTTTGGGTTCGACAGCCCTYTTCACAGGACCACTTTGTTATATATCTCTATTTTCAAAATTTATGTTTTCTAATCCGTTCATCACATCACTTTTGTGTGAAGTCATATATTTATCCTTTGTTATTGTTTTTTTACCGTTTCAAATTTTTTTTCCTTTCCCTCTCTATCTTCATTCTCTTCTAATCCTCCCTCTCTCTCCCTCTCCAATTTTTTTTTTCTCTTTTTTCAATTTTACTTCGTCTCCCCCGATTTTTTTTTTCCATGTTTCTCTCTCAGTATATTACAATTCGTGCACTTCTCTCTCTCCCTATCTCTTTCTCCCGTTTTTTCAACACAAGAGATATAATTATAGGACTTAAAATAAAAGATATAATTATTGAAAAAATAAATTAAAGAAACAAAATATTTTTCAGGTATATTAGATTGCACCTTGATTTTCTATATTAAGGCCTCTCAATTAAAGTTTTGCTTAAGATCCCGTATTATCTTGAGCCGTCCCGCTACTATATGTCCTCAATTTTCATTTTTCATTTTTTTTTCTTCTTTTTGTGTTCTATGTAATTTACTAACTTCCCCATAATTATTATATCCTATATACTAACAACAATTTTCATCAAAATATTTTTATAATTTTTTTTTATATTACATTTGGCTACTACAAGTATTCAATCTACATAGAAGTACAAATGAATATTAATTAGTCAAATTATCCTTTGTCGATATTTTTTTTTTTACAACTTTAATGGGACTCAACAAAAGATTTTCTTTTTAATTTTTGTTTTTGTTCTTTTCGTTCAATAACATGGATGAGAATTTGAACCTTAGACTAATAAATGTCATATATAAGAAAATACCCATTTCATTTCTTTCATAAATGTTATTTAATTGATAAAAAATTTGGTGGATGAGTCCTAATTTATTTCAGATTCCTAACAACAATAAGTGACCAATAACAACGTTAATACTTTAGTTTGGTTAACAATATTTTATATCGTTAATCTCTCATTTTGATCTCTTCCACCGTTGGTCGTGGAAACATTACTGAATTACTACTCCTCCTATATATTAAGAGGATTTGTTGATTAGAAAATCAAAACCAGTTAAGAAAATTGGAAAAAAAAAACCGATACTCATCTTCCAACAAATGGTGCAGGCTGGGCAGTTTCCATCAATTATGTTCTCTTTGCAGGTATCTCCTTCAAAATCTCATTTAGTCAGTCTCTTTCTACTTTTTCACTCGGTAATAGAATACAATAAACTAAATAAAGAATAGTTCTTTACTCACCATATTATTCTCTTTCGTGGGTATTGTAGGAAATTAGCAATCTTCATTTCTCTTGTCCCATCTTAGCAGTTCCATTAGCCAAAATTAGTGTAACTCATAAAAAATTTGTGTTAAAGAAAATTTTGTATTGTAATATTTATGTATATTTTTAATTGGATGGAATTTGAATAGATAAGTGTTTTATTTTATTGATGATGATTTATATTTTATTGAATAGATAATTCTACAATTCTTCAAATTAAACCACAAATTCAATCAATAACTCAATTCTCCGTCTACAATCCAATTACACCTCTTTCTCTCCCATCTTTCTTACAAGTGAGACCCACATCCCACATTCATAACTTTTCAACCCATTTCCTACACGTGAATAGTTAATAAATATTTTTTCTTTTATATTAAAATATTATTTTTTACTATGTTAATAATGCGTAAGATGGGGTTTCACTTTTTAAAATTTTTTTTTTTTTTTGAAATTATTGGGATGACGGCACAATTTTGTTTTATAAATTTTCTTAGTACTTTGGATTTTGATTTTTTGATATGTCAACATGTGTGTGATATGGAAATTAACAAAAATATGTATTTCTTGATTACTGCATATTGTATTCATGTGAGTCACTAATTTTAACTTAATTTTAACATATTATTTTTTTTAGATTTGACTTCTTAGATATGGAAAAAAAATTAAGTATAAATCTTAAAAATCAGTACCATAAATTAAAACTATACAATTATACGTGCAAATCAGTACTTAAAACTATAAGTACACAATTATAAGTATAGATTTGAGTTATTGGTACAATTTTTCAAATCAGTACTCTCAAAATTAACAACACGGACATATGTATGTGCAATATTTACTATAAATTAAAACTACACAATTATACGTACAACACACGTKTATTTTACTAGTTTATATAAATGAAGGTAAAAGTAACACTACTCATATTCTACCTTTTCAAATTTCCTTCATTTATCAATAGCAATTATTTTTTATTTATCAATTCAATTTTCCAACCATTCTAGAAAAAGTTAAAAATTAAAAAAATAAAAGATTAATTTTTTTTTTTATGTAAACATGTAGGTGGTGCAAAGGACTTATTTTTTTTTTAGTATTTAACTA